TTCAAAATGTTAAATACTTTTAAATATTAAAATTAACTTTATCAAAAATTAGGAAAAAAAATAATCCAAAAGAGTTCAAAAATGTATTATAATATTGTCAATTTTGAGTTTAATTATATTGTTCATTCTCAAAGTAGAAAAATATATTGTAATTATTTTAATTTAATAAAATATAATTTAAATTTTTAATACTAAAATTAAAAGATTTCTGTTGCATGATGTTTCTTCACTTAAAAGATTTTGCAAAATGCCTCTTAAAATGTTTTTAACAATTAAAAACAAAGTATTTTGACAAAAGTTTTCTCAAACAAGTTTTTAACTCGATACAGACTTTGATAGAACCGATTAAAATTACTTAAAATGTCAAGTGAAATGTTTTTACAATATTTTAATCGATACAACTTGATTTTAATCGATTAAAACCACTTAAGGGTTCAGGATGATCGATCAGAATGCAATTATGACCGATCAGAACTATTTTAATCGATTAAATCTCGTTTCAATCGATTAAAACAACTTAAAAATTTCTACACAATGCTTTTAATCGATTAAAACTTATTTTTATCAGCTTAAAATAACTTGAAAAGTTTTACAAGAAAGTTTTGCAAGTATTTCAATCGATTGAATCTCGAAACAATCGATTAAATCAACTTAGAAGATTTTTTGTAAAGTGTTTTAATTGATATAAACGTTGTCGTATCAGCTTAAAACAAATCGTTAAAGAATCAAGAATGTATTAATGGATTAAAAGAAGTTTTAACAGATTAAAACTGCACTTTTAACAGATTAAAAGAATCTTTTAACAGATTAATTAAACCAATGAGTTTTGAAAATCTTCTATAAAAACAGTTTGACTTGAACTTTTTTAACATACATTGAATATCATCTTTTACACATCCTTGAGCAATCAATCAAACAAACTTCAAGCACTCTTTTCAAGAAAGATTCGCATTAGTTTTTGAGAAGTTCTTTGAAAATCTTTCTTGAGGCAACTTGATTTCTTTTGAAGAAGAAACACTTACAGCAGAATTGCATAAACTGGTTTGAGCATTCTAGTTTCTTCTTTTTCATTTCTTTACATTCTTTTTGTATTGTTTGGTGCCTGGAATTTGGGCACCTGGTTTCTCTCGTAACTGGAATTTGGTTGTAGAGGTTATTAAGAGCTGGAATTTGGTAATACGAAAAACATTTCGAAAGCAAAATGTTAAATACTTTTAAATATTAAAATTGACTTTATAAAAAATTAGGAAAAAAATTAATCAAAAAGAGTTCAAAAATGTATTATAATATTTTCAGTTTTAGTTTAATTATATTTTTCATTCTCAAAGTAGAAACATATATTGTAATATTATTTTAATTTAATAAAATATCATTTAAATTTTTAATACTAAAATTAAAAGATTAAATAATAATAAATTTAATTCTTTAAATTTAGTATTTAGAAACTAAAATTATAGTTTCTCTGTTTTAAAAAATTAAAATAAATATTTAAAAATAAAAATCAAAACTATTATTATGTTAAATTTATTAAAAGTATAATTAAATCTCTATTTTCTTCTATTTTTTAATATAAATTTTTAAAATATAATTTAATTTCAATTGAAAATTTCAATTGAAAAATAAATTCAAGAATATTTGTTATTAAACTTTTCTTAAACAATGTATTGAATAGTTAACATCACTCTAGTCTTAATTTATTACAATTTAAATTTTTAATAAATTTGATTTATTACAATTCATTTTGTTAATATTGAGACCAAAGTTTATTTTTAAAGTATATTTTAAAAATTAAAATATTTTTAAAAAATAAATTACTTTTAAAAAATAAATTGTAAAAAATATACTAAAACAATTAAAGTATATTTATAAAAAAAATTAAATATAATAAAAAAATAATATTCATTAGCGACCGATTTCAATTCGGTCGCTATTTTCTCATTAGCGACCGATTTTAATTCGGTCACTATTTCAATTTGTAATTCGGTCGCTAAATCAGTCGCTAAATGATTTTTTTATTTTAGTATGAAAATAGCCACCGATTTAGCGACCGAAATTTTGCGACGCAAAATATTGGTCGCTATTTCGGTCGCTAAATAAAAAAGTGCAAAATAAATCATATTTTGGTCGCTAAATCGGTCGCTAATTGCAACTGAATTAAAGTGGTCGCTGAATCGGTCGCTAATTGCGACCGAATGAAAGTGGTCGCTAAATCGGTCGCTAATTGCGACCAAAATTAAATTGGTCGCTAAAGTGGTCGCTAATTGCGACCAAAAAAATTCGATCGCTAATTTCGGTGGCTAAATGTGTTTTTTCTTGTAGTGGATAAGAATAAGACACCAATTTTAAAGGCACCTCTGAGTAAGAATATAATATTTCGAGTTGATATTTCAATATCGAATAACTTGTGTTTTGTAGTAGCAATCTCTAATGTCAATTGGTTGTGGCATTTGAAGTATGATTATCTTAACTTCGATAGTTTGAACCAATTAACAGAAAAAGAGATGATAATTGGACTACCTCGAGTCTAAAAGTGTAAAGATATATGTGAAGTCCAAAAGTGTAAAGATATATGTGAAGGGTTAATGACAAGGAAACAAACTATAAATCTTTTAAGGTGCGTATCAAGACCAGAAGCAAGGATGCGTTAGAAGTTATCTACACCGATGTGTGTGGATCCATTGATGTTTCTTCATTAGGTGGAAATTGATACTTTGTGACGTTTATCGATGACTATAGCAAGAAGAAGTGAGTGTACTTGCTTGAGAAGAAATCAAAAGTGTTTAACCACTTTGTCAATTTTAAATCGATGGTTATAGAGCTATCAAAGTATTGAGATCAGATAGTGGTAGCGAGTACAACAATGATGAGTTTGCATCCTTTTGTAAGAAGAATGTATTATGCATGAGATAATACCCTTGTACGCACTACAACATAATGAAATTGTGGAAAGAAGAAATAAAACGATTTTAAATATGGTTAGAAGTATATTAAATAGCAAAGGCTGGTTACATTTATATTAGGAAAATAAATATGGATAACTGTATACATCTTGAATTGATGTCTAATGAAAAGAGTGAAGGAGAAAATACCAGAAGAAGTATGATCTGGGAAAAAGCCAAATATAAAACACTTGAGAGTATTTAGCTTGATTGCATGGAGACATGTTCCTTAGAAGAAAAAAGCTCGATAATAGAAGCCAAAAATTAATTCTGGTAGGATTCAACTGATGCATACAAGTTGTATGATCCTATCAAGAAGAAGATTATCGTCAATAGAGATGTTGTTTTTGATGAGAAGGATTGTTAGAAATGAGTTTTGATAAAGGAAAATCAAAATATTAACTTTGATGACTTAGGTGATATAAAAATCAAAGGCAAAAATTGATTGTTTATTGAAATTAAAAGAGAAAGAAATTGAGTTTAGAAATTGAAAGTAACAAAAATCGATCGATATCTAAAATCGAAGAAGACAAAAATCAACAAATTTCAAAAATCAAAGAGAATCAACCTATAAGATCGATTAGAACACTAACAAGACTCAATAATTACATTATTAATATTAATACTGGTACATCATCTGACTCTTTATTAATTATATATTTTTCAATTTCATAATAAACTTTAGTAATTTTTATTTAAGTACAAGTATGTTTGTATTAAACGCTTTCCTGAAACCTAAATATCTCTTTAATTACGATACTTTAATAATATTGTTGTTCACCATGACGACAACGAAAAATATTTTATTTAAAACCCTTATTACAGATATTTTTAATAAAAAATCCATAATGTAAAAACTCCTACTCAAATAAGTGGGTTATCAAAATAAATTACCAACTATAATAACACTATTAATTATCAATGTGACAACGCAGACGACTAAAATAAAATATATGAAAAAAATAAAAATAAACATGTAATCCTCTAAAGTTACAATATATTTTACTTCTTTAGTCTTATTTTTAAAACAATAAAGTTCAATAAATATTAAAAAATACAAATAGAATAAAGTCCAATAATTTAGAATTCTTTACTCTTATTTTTAACTCTTCACGTAGAAGAATGAAAAAATATTAGCCATAATAAAATATTAAATTCTAGGGTTAAACATTACATTTTATATTGTTCAATCAAACACTTTTTTTAATACACTAAAATTTAAGAAAATGTTAGAAGATCAGAAAAAACAAAAATGATGAGATCATTGTGTGTACAGCGGTAAATTAAATGCTGGCGTGACCTACCAAGTCAACGTTGGGTGCTACTTCAAGGGATTTATTATATTCCAATTCTGCGGAACTTGGAACTGAAATGCCCCACGCTATATTAATCTAAATTAGTATCCACATCACAATTAAATAAATTCTTTTTCTAATGATAAAAAACCAACAAAATAAAAATTACTTTTTTTAACTTCAAGCTTATTTTTTCTGAGTTCCAATAAGTTTGTTCCTATACAAATATATTATCATCCAATTAAAAAAAGAGAGAGTAACAAACAAGGTAATAATTTAGTTTCAATCATAATAATTATATTTCTTAAACACCTATTTATTCATCTTATAATCACATATGCATATATTTATATCATCTCCCTAAGTGATTAAAATAATAATACTTAAAATGAAGAAACTCTCATATAATAAATTCTAATATCTTACTTATTACACTCGGATTATATATAAATAATTCTGTAACCTTTCACCATTTAATCCCTTTCTGTGTATGATTTTAGTTATTAGTAAAATTAAGATATCTTTTATACAACCTTCAACCACTTATTCATCGTTTTATATCAGAAAATCTTATTCACTGTACACGCATGCATAAATAGACTTCTGTGTACCGTTTTAAATATTATATATTGAAAGAAAAAACATCAAAGTTTATTGATATTTAATTAATATCTTTATTATACATAACTTTTGTTGTTCATTAGAGGTATGTACTGATTATAAATATAAGAACAAAATGGAACAGAAGTATTAGCATAGAAAGAAAATGGCAGGAAGTGAATGGCATTTAAACTCTCCAATGCTGAATGCATCAAGTGGTGTTGGCTATGTTACCAATATTGGTGGTCTTAATTCCTATGTCTCGGGTTCCCCTTTCTCCATCTTCGCCATTCTTCTTGTTTCCGATATTTTTGGTATATTCATTCAATCATTTTTATTAATTACCTTTTAAATATTAAGAACATTTTTATTATTCGATTATATCGTTTTATATAAGTTCCAAACATTGAAACAGAAACCTGTGACTTGGGTCGTCATTAATGGTTGTGTTTATATAAGTGGTTGAAGGTTGTATAAAACATTGATTCCCAGTGTGGTTGTGTTTATATATAAATAGAAACAAGAGTAGAAGATGATGCTTTTAGTTTCTTGTTTGGTGTAAATATTGTTTGGTTCTACCAGTAATCATTACCTTAAGCCAATATCTTCATTTAACTTCATATGCTGAATTTGTCTTGTAGGATTTACAGTACCGCTTTTCAGGTATGTTACTTTCTATGCCTAATTTTCTGAATTTTGCTCTCTTGCTTTATTCTCTCTTTATGATCACCATGATAAGTAATACTATTGGTTACAAATTGTGAAGAGAGCTTGCAGACAAGGTCGCAGCTACTGGATATTTTGTTGTGGCTCCTGATTTCTTCAATGGCGACCCTTTTGATTCTGATAATGTGAACAGGCCCTTACCTGTTTGGATACAAGATCATGAACCGGTTAATTCGTACTTAATGTTACTTTCTTATTTATTTGGATTTTCTCAAATGGTTGTTTCCTATTTTGTTTCTCAAAATCCAATATTGGTGTTAAATTTGCAGGAAAAAGGTTTTGAAGCTGCAAAACCTGTTATTGAAGCCTTAAAAAGTCAAGGTTTTTCTGCTGTCGGAGTTGCTGGTTTTTGTTGGGGCGGTGAGTGGCTTCCTCTTCTTTGGTCTTTCTTTATCTCCTTTCCTTTGCTTTGTGTAATGATTATACCAGAATTTATCAGAAATTCTTATATAATCAACTCTATTCAATTTTAATAATATTAAGAAACATTATTAGCTAGATTTTTTAATTGTTGCTAGCTTTGACCGATGTAAATTAAGCTTTTTTTAATTGATATGGATTACTTTTCAATCCACACAATTGTTAATTTCGCTCAGTAGCTATAACCCACTACTCATTATTTGTTAAGAAAAAACCATATTATAATCTATGTTTCAATTTCGTTAAAACCACCAAATTTCAATATTAGTAACTTTACACGAAGTTTAAATAATTTTTAGAATAAGCATGAATCAAAATAGATTCGAAAAAACAAATTAAATTGAAAGTAATATGTTTTATTTTTTATTTTTCTTTCTATCTCAGGTAAGACCGCTAGCGCACTTGGGAAATCCAAACATGTCAAAGCCAGTGTGCTATTACATCCAACATCTGTGGAAGTGGATGACATCCGTGGTATAGTTTCATTGTTTACGTTGTTTCTTTTTAATTACGGTTCCTTTAATATCTCCTAAGAAAAAAAAACTAATATAAATATACTAACAGTTAACTATTGATCTTAATTACTTCATGCATGAAGACTCCAATTGCTATTCTTGGAGGTGAGAATGATACAATTTCTCCTCCAGAGCTTATACTAGAATATAAGCAAGTCCTACAGAATGCTATACCTAAGGTCACTTTAGATTTACCTTGATGATTTTCTTGTCCTATATTCTCCAAGTAACTTCTTTTTATGGTCATTGATGGCAAAATTTCTGATTCGTGTGCAGGTTGATTATTATGTAAAAATATTCCCCAACGTCTCACATGGTTGGACTGTGAGCTACGATCCTAATGATCCAAAAGCTGTGAAGGCTGCAGAGAAGGCTCATAAAATCATGATATATTGGTTTCATAAACATCTTAAGGAAGCCACAAATCTTGTTATGTGATGTTTTCTATAATGATTGTGTCTGTGGAGGATGGAGAATGCTACTTGTTCCACTGCATACGAATAAAGTGAAACTCTACCATTTATTTCTTCATGTTTCCTTCTTATTCTACACACCAAAACATCAACCATGCATCTTTCACAAATTTAATTTTCTCCACGTTAGATCTCATTTTAAAATCTTACATTATTTTTTATCCTTTAATTCTTCATTTTTTTAACGATAAATCTTATCATAAGATTTTAATTAATTTAAAAATTTTAGACATAAATTTTAAATTTTATTTTATTTTATAAATTTAATAGTTTTGGTACAAGAATTCCATGTTTATATCGGAGATCTTAACTTTCTTCTATTACAAAATCTTGAAAATAATAAATTTTATATTTAATGTCATATTTCAATAAAGTTACTTAAAAAACTTGATTTCATTTAAAATTAACATGTCAAAATAATAAAGTAATAGAAATTTAACCAGGAAGCAATACAAAACAAACCATTAATTTGAGATTTTCTAGCACATGCTCTCTTGCTGTTCCCAATGTTAATATTGAAGCAAATCTTTAGACAGTATCTCCTGTGACAATTAAACCGGTACTACGGGATCGATTTGTCTTGAGTTTGATAAAAAAATTGAGTTAATTGGAAGTGATGATGTGTTTGTATTTTCTCTGTTTTAAAAAGTCGAAGGTAGGGCGGAGATGGATAATTTCCATTTCGACCCATCATCGTCCCTGTACTCGATTTTATATTTAAATTTAAATTTTAAAATATTAATATTTTAATAATATTTTTGTTTTTTTTTCTATAACATATAATGTCATTTTTTTATATTTTACCATTTTTACTTTTTTCTACCCAATTTTTAATTTTTTTTATCTTTTATATTAATTAGTTTATTACATTATTATCTTTCATTTTTTATATTTCCTTAATCTTTTTAATTAATTTTTTTTGTCTTTATCTTTTTATAAATATTTTACATAAATCTTAGTAGTAACTAATATTATTTTATTTATAATTTATATTTATTAGATTTTATTATGTCATATTTTTTGAATCTTATTATTCTTATTTGTTATATATTAAATTTTATCTTAATAAAGTAATTATATTTTAAAAGATTAAAAAGAATTGATAATTTAAACTTTTATTATTTCAAATTAATTAAATAAGAATTAACTTATTAAATATTTCCTTATAAATTATATATTTCATATTTTAAAATAATAATTTAAAAATGAATTAATTTATATATATAATCAAATATTTGAATATAGTATAATAATAATATAATTATTCAAATATTTGAACACAGTGATAATAATAATTATTATAAATATTCTATATATATAAAAAATAATAATTAAATATTTCTTTTACATACATATATTTTAATATAAATATTTCTTTTATAAATATTTATTTATATATAAAAAATACATAATAAAATTAATTTATTATAAATATAATTATCTTTTTAAATAATATAGATCGAAGACGAGACGGGACGCAGTGAGAGATGTGAATTTAATTTTTAATTCCAACAAGAATCGGGAACGAGAACGAGGGCGGTTAAAAAGTCGGGACGAGGATCGGTGAAACAATATTCACCCCTATCCCGTCCCATTGTCATGCCTACTCCAATAGAAGTGTTTCTCTAATATGTTGGTCAACTAAATTACTTCTTATTTTAAAAATTAAAAGTTATAAATTATGTTAAATCATTTCATTTCTTTTACTGTTTTTTTTTTAATATTTAATGAAACTACGCCACTTTAAATTTCATTAAAATATAACATTTTGTTTAAGAACATTGATGTATATATTGACAATTGTGGGAGAAACAACACACAACAAACAATTCAGTTTATTATTATAATAATTATAAACAAATTTTATAAAGTTAAAATTATTATTATATTATTAAATAAAATTGTTCGATAGATGCTTGTTAAAAGATGGATGTATTCTTATAAGAGATATTTTAAAATGAATCTAATTTTAATTATTTTATAGAATTATTGGTCACTTACATTTTGTGTACCAATAAACTTGTGATTTAATGTACTCCTAGATATAATATCAGTAAAAGGAAAAATGGTGACGTTATTTTGTGATGACCAAAATCTATTATAAATTATAACAAAATTTGTCATCATATAATAAATTTTGTAACGAAATTAAAAATATATAATTTTTTTAATAATTATGTTTCATTTAACAAAATATCGTTACCAAAGTTATTACAAAAATATTTGTATTTATCTCGATAACAAATTTTTGTAAAAAAATGTATTACTAATTATTTTATTATAAATATCAGCACCAATTTAAAAAATATTTAACTTAGGTTTACGATGAAATTATATATTAAAAAATAATAATTATCATAAAATAATAAATATATTATATAAAATATTCATTGAATATATTTAATATTATTAATTAAATTTAAATTTTAGAAAGTAAAATTTATTTTATCATTTTTTTCTTAAAAGATAATATGAATTTTTTTAGACTTTTTTAAAATTCAACTGAACTAAAATACCGTAAAATATTAAAATAATTAACTAATATATAATAAATAAATAAATTATATTTTTATACTATACGCTAATTTATTATAATAATAAATAAAATAAATTTGTTTCTTATTTATTTACTTCAAAATAATTATTATGGGATATTTTTTTATATTTTTTAACTTTTTGTCTCATTTTTTGAATGTGAATTAAAGGAAAAACAAACCCAAAAAATTATAATTTTTATGTTATAAAATCAAACTATAAAAGATAAAAAATTGAAAACTAAAAAAAAGTTATAATTTTATTTTATAAGATGAAATCATGAAAGAAAAAAACATAAATATTGATAAAAAAAAGATAGAAATGCGAGAAGAGAAAGTGAGTATCTCACATTAAAAGTTGAAGTGGGATAATAAAATGACAGAAGAAAAGAAGATAAAAATATTAAAATAGAAGAAAGAAAAAAAAAAAAGCCTTAGTAAAAAATTATGCAAAAGAATAAATATAATATTTATTATAAATGAAAATAATAAAAAAGAAAAAAATTATATTTATAAAATAATTTTTATTTAATTTAAAATTTATATATATATATATATATATATATATATATATATATATATATATATATATATATATATATATATTCCAAAATTGTGTTTATATATACAGAAGGGTTGCACCAGTACCATAATCATAAAGAAAAAAATAATCAAAGCTATGCTATATGAACATTTAAACTAATATCTTTTAAGTACCTAAATTTATTTGCTTAAATCATGTTAACTCATATTTAAGTGATAGTCACTTAAGTTCTGTTAGTCTACGTTTAAGTCACATTACTTAAGTTTTTATTAATTCATATCCGTTTAAATTACTATTAATTCACACTTAAGTCATTCAAGGCTTAAAAGATGTTTAAGTGTATTTTAATATATATTTTTAATTATATTATAATAATAAAAAAATATTAATTATTTCTTTTTGGAGTGCAAATAATTATTATATCCAAATTTGTAAAAAAATTTCATATTTCTTTGTAAGAGGGAAGATAAATTTTTTTCTCAAAATTTTAATTTTTTATATTAAAATTTTGTCATCCATATTACAAATAATATATACTTACAAACAAAATCTTTTCATGTAAATGTGGTTTATATTAATAAATAAGAAAGATAAAGAGAATAATACAAAATTAAAATATATTTCTAATAAAAAAAATTATGTTTTGCAATAATTATGGAAAAGTAAGACTGATAGCTAAAGGCGTTTGAGAAAGTGTAATATCTTCCGCGAAACACCAATTTTAACGTCAATCATTAATTTCATTACATCCAACGGTTTAAAAAGCGATGAAAAGGGATACAGACAAAACTGACTAGTAGAGAATTATAAGACCAGAATGAAGTAGAAGGAATAGCATAACATAAGAAAAGACAGAGAAATGGTAGGAGGTGAATGCTATTCAAACCCTCCACTTCTGAATGCATCAAGCGGTGGAGGCTATGTTACCAATATCGGTGGTATTAACTCCTACGTCACTGGTTCCCCTCTTGCCATCCTCGCCATTCTTCTTGTTTCCGATGTTTATGGTATTCATTTTTTCTTTTCTAATTATTATTTACATCTTTCTTCTTCTTTTGAAAGAAATAACATCTATCTCACTTTATTAAAGATCCAGATATTGGACTCTTTGTTTACTTTATTTTAAATGATCAAGAAATTGAGAAAAAAAAAAATGTTAAAAACAGAAACCATTTTGAAACAACTGAGTTCTGTTCCTTGTTAGAAACTGAGATCTATGACTTTGTTATTCTTTTGATGGTTTGGTTATTGTTTTGTTTTGCGTTACTCTCTGTGTTTAATTAATATCTGTGGTTTGTTTTCTTTGGGATTTGCTGTCACTTATCAGTTTCACTGACAGTGCCATATGTTTTTTTTTTTTTTTTTTGGGTGCATCTATTGTTTGCTTCTGCTGACAGTTAAACCTTAACCAATAACTTCATTTAACTTCTTGTGCTCAATTTGTCTTTCAGGATTTAAAGCGCCACTTTTAAGGTACGATTAGTTTTCATGTTTACTTTCTATGCATAATTTACTGAAATTTGTTCTCTTTGCTTATTCTCTGTTTGGACCAGTGAACCAGATTTCTCGTTGAATATAATGTGTTCCCTGGATAATTAATCCTATCTGCTATGTATTGTAAAGGAAAGTTGCTGACAAGGTTGCAGCTAATGGGTATTATGTCCTGGTTCCTGACTTCTTACATGATGACCCTTATGATCCTAAGAATTCGACAAGGCCAACCTCTGTTTGGTTAAAAGATCATGAACCTGTTAGTTCTTACTGAATGATACTTGCTTGTTTACGATTGATTTAGCAAGAAAAAAAATGTCTTTTTCTTCAAAATTCAGTATTGGTTTTCTTATTTTAATTTTGTTAACTGATTTTCGAAGAGGTTTCAGATGTAGAAAAAATTTACTTGTTTGTAAATTGTAATACATTCTGTCTGAAGCTTACATTACTTATTAAATTTGTAGGGAAAAAGTATTAAAGGTGCAAAACCTGTTATTAAAGCCTTAAAAAGAAAAGGTGTTTCCGCTGTTGGAGTTGCTGGTTTTTGTTGGGGCGGTGAGTGACTTCAACTGAATTGGTGTTCTTTATCCCCACTCCTCTGTGTATTTTGCAATTTCAGGTGAGCTTTTGTACAAACTCACAGAATGTAAGGTTTTTTCTCTTTTTCTATCAGCTAAGACAGTTACCAACCTTGGGAAAGCCAAACTTGTCCAAGCTTCTGTGCTATTACATCCATCATATATCACTGTGGATGACATCCGTGGTACGAATTTCAATGTTTTAGAAAAATTCTTAATTTACATACCCAACTTCACATAGTATCTTCTTAGGGGAAAAACTTACTTTAACTACACATTTTTTTGATGCAACATGTTTGTATTGTAATCATATGTTAAGTTGAAATCCATGTTTTGTTCAGCTCCTTTCTTGCTGTCTTTCAGAAGCTATTGTTTAATGGTAGAATAAAGATACAAATCTTAAAGCAGTGATTGCGATGTTTCTATTCTGAAACAGTTAATTAATGATCTTACTTTCAGGTGTTAATGTTCCAATTGCTATACTTGGAGCTGAGCATGACTCACTCTCTCCTCCAAAGCTTTTAAAACAATTTAAACAAATCCTAGATGCTAAACCTGAGGTACAATGAATGTTTTTTTCTTTGGTGGTTATGCACTGTCGTTTATATTAGCTTGATGATTTGGTTATTAAGTTTTGTAATTAATTATGTGTTTATGATATCATTTTCTTGTAATTCATTGTTACCTTTTTCCAGTTATACAAGCTTGGTTAACTTTTACATTGGACAAGTAAAATTTGAATCTGACAATTGAGTTAGAATTTTAGTTACCCCGGGCTGTTTTGTCAAAGTAGTATCTTTTTATGGTCATTAATGGGCATATTTTGTCGAATCTCATGTATTTTTTATCACTTTGTGTACCAATTTTTGTTTGTGCAGATTGATAGTTATGTAAAAGTATTTCGTAACGTCTCTCATGGTTGGACTCTGAGGTATGACCCTAATGATCCAAAAGCTGTGAAGGAGGCAGACAAGGCTCATAAAATTATGATAGATTGGTTTAATAAACATCTGAAGAAGTGAGAAATTTTATTGTGTCATCGTGTCCCGTTTCGAGGATGGATAATGCTCTACTTATTCCATGTATATGAAAATTTTTTTTGTCAGAACAGAACCAATGTTAAGCCGACCAACTAAACATTATTTCTGAATTTGTAATAAGCAAAATCATCACCCAAAAGTCATTGTTGGGCACGTAAGTGAATGATAAATACCAGCAAGCACGGAAGGTTCGTAAAAAATAATCATAGATAAATATAGGAGTCCAATAACAAAGTTCGTATAACATTTGTTAAGGTTTGTAGTATATACGGTGGTTCACATATTTTTATTTGGTTATCCTTTTGGATGACTTCTAGTTAGTCACCTTGATTCGTGACTATAAAAACGTATTAACGATCGTGGTTTTTCATTTTTACCAACATTTTTATGTTTAAGGTTATATATATATATCTACAAATCTAACACCAAAATTATCAATAATGTGTATTATTCACATATTTTTTAAAGTAGAAAATGTGTAAGAAATTTTATATTTTTCATGAATTTGGAACGTTGCTTATATATGTCTGTAGAAAATATTAATATCATTTGAATTTGAATTTAAATTTAAATATTGGAATTAATTTTGTTTATAAAACTATTTAATATAAAAATTCCAATTTAAATTAGTTATTTTCATTATTAATAAATATCATATATTACATTTTAATTAATTATCTGCAGTATTAAGGAAAAATTATCATATGGTCCTAATTACGTAAATGAAGTATGAAAATATTTCCGCACTTATGCTACTTACTCTAACGGGTTGATGCATTAATTTTTAAAGACGTGTATTTGTTTCTTTCATGCTATACAGATATGCATTCATGACTAATTATTCTATAATTCCATTATTTTCATATGTTATACAATCTCTATTATTAATATTGTTTTATAACATTTCATCATATTCATAAAATATTCAAATATATATATATAGGTCGATTTTAATTATTGATAACGATATTTTTAATTATATGCTTACTGAAATGCCGGCCAAAAACCAGCGATTCGTACACTGTATTAATCCAACACAACTTCAAAAAATTAGTATCTTCATAAAATAAATTTGTATTAATTACTTTCTATTTATTAAAAAGCATTAGTTATAATTTTTGTGTGTAATAAAATAATTTTTTTGCATGTTTTGTGTGGTCAACACCATGTGATCCATAACAGTGTAATTAAGCAAGTAACACGTCCATTTCAACCTTGTTAATAAATGACAACTCAAACCCTGAAATCCTGAACACATGGAGTGGTGGTAGAATGAGTGGTTCATATAAGGCCAGAATGGAGCAGGAATGTTAGCAGAGCATAAGGAAAAGAGAGACAGAAAAATGGTTGGAAGTGAATGCTATTCAAACCCTCCACTTCTGAATGCATCAAGCGGTGTTGGCTATGTAACCAATATTGGTGGTGTTAGTTCCTATGTCACTGGTTCCCCTCTCGCCATCCTCGCCATTCTTCTTGTTTCCGATGTTTATGGTAACATTATTTCCCTTTTCATAACCACCTTCGTATTCTTGTGATTGATTCCTTGGTTCTATGTTTTTTTATTTGTAAATAGAAATAAGAGTAGAAGGTGATACTTTAATCTGTGTTTAATTAATTCGGTTTGGTGTATCTGTGTGGTTTCTTTCCTTTCTTGTGAGTTTCATTGTTTGGTGTATCTATTTGTTTAACTAATTCAGATGCTGAATTTGCCTTGCAGGATTTAAAGCACCACTGCTAAGGTATCTTTATTTTCTATCCTAATATATTGAGTTTTGCTTTCTTTCCTTATTCTCTCCAATCTAATCAAGGGGATTAAGTCCGTAATCGGACCTTCGTCCCGTCTCAAATTATAATCCGTCAATTATATTATAAATATTATGATTCAAAATTAGTTATAACTTCAAATGTTATAATTTTTTTTGTTATAGTATTAAATATATAAATATACAAAAATATCATAATTTAAATGATTAATTATAATTAAATAATTCAAAATATAAATTTAATAATCTTTTTAAATTTATCCTATAAAAAATATTTATTAACTAGTAATGATTTACAAAATATTAATATAATCAAGTATGTTTTATTTATATAATTTTTTATTACAAAAATTGTCCTCGTACAGTAGACCAGGGTCTGTTATTGATTAGACAATTTATTCGTGACTTTATATAAACTTATATTTATTTTTAGTGTCATTATTTAATATATTGTTTTTTTATTAAATTATTTTAATCAAACATTTTCTCCACTAATCTTTAATATAAATAAAGTTAATTAAACATTATTCATTTTTCCCTATTCCTTTAGTGAAACTCTCCCATCTTTGTTTCTCTCTATGTATAATTTTAGGAACAGTTTTTTATATTTTAAAATTAATATATACATTAAATTTTAATTTATTAAATTAAGAAAACATAATAATGTTTGGCTAGTTTGGATAAATTGAATTATATTATAATTTGAATGAACTTATCAAGGTGAAATATATCCTTTAAATTGTTTGAACTATGTGAACTGTTTGAATTATTAGCAGTAAGTTGTAAAATATGTCTTCAGTTATCTTAAATTAATTAAGTTTAATTTGCCGTTTTATTAAGGAATACTTCAGTTTTAAAAATATAAATTAAAATAATCATTCAATAAAATTTAGTACCAATTTTGTTCTCATCAATTTTTCTTTTTTTAATGGCCATAACTATTGGTTATATATTGCACAGGAAAATTGCAGACAAGGTTGCAGCTAATGGGTATTTTGTGGTGGTTCCTGACTTCTTCAATGGGGAACCCTACAATCCTGAGAATGTGAACAGGCGTTTTGCCGTTTGGTTAAAAGATCATGACCCGGTTAGTTCTTTTTTAATGATACTTGCTTGTTTATGATTCATTTAGGAAGAAAAAAAAATGTCGTTTCTCTTCTTTAGAATTGAATGGTGGGTGGGTATGAATTGTAATACATTTTATCTGATGCTTACATGACATGTGTGGTTGAGAATTTTTAAGATTTGGTGGGAAAATGTATCTTTGATATATGATGTGAGTATATTTTTATTTATGTACTTTATGTATATATAAAGTAAAAATATTACAAAATATAAAAAATATCTCAAACATAACTCTCAAAATAATAACCTAATGTTTTTTTACCTTATCTTTTCAAAGAGAATAAAATCTCTTAATACTTAATTTAAATAAAAGATAATAAAGTAATATTTTTAACATTCTTCCTTACTTACATTTATTTATTTGAATTTGATATTCTTTCTTTTATTTTGTTTATAATTTTTCAATTTTTTCTTTGTATTTCTCATCATCTTCCTTTTTGTGTGGGATCACATCTTCATTCAATTTCATTTTTTTCATCAAAATATTTCTTCTTTTATAAACTGTATCTTTTTTGTTTCTTTCAAACTTCTTTAAGGTAGTACCATTGACTATTTGTTTCTTTCAAACTTTTTTATGGTCTTCTTTAAGGTAGTACTGTTGACTATTTGTTTCTTTCAAACTTCTTTATGGTCCTCTTTATGGTCTTATTTATGGTAGTACAGTTGACTATTTGATGAACGTTGAAAACGGTTTCTTCATCTACATCTTTATTCTCCTCTTTAGCATTAAGTTCCTTCAAGAAATCTTCTTCATGTTTTTTCTTTAACTTTTCTTTTATATCCTTATTTGTAATCATCTTTTCTTTCATCAAATATAAAATGAAACATTTTCCTTTCATGTGAACTTTGAATATTTTCAAGTTATTTGTATCTTTAATCACACAAAGTTTGTATTGAAAAAACATCTTATAACTTTTCTTCAATAATTGAGCAACATTTAACAAATTATGATTAATATCAAGAACATATAAAACATCAAAAATCAATTTGATACCTGAATGACTTTTAACTGCAATTGTTCCCATACCTTTCACATCCATTTGTTCTTCGTTACTGATTCTCAATTTAGAAATATATGATTCGTTGAGTTCTTTGAAAAGTTTTCGATCATGAGTCATATGGTTTGTTTGTACAACCATTGTCTATAAGTCAATATGTGAATTTGTTGATTGTAGAACATGTTGATGCAAAGAGAAGTTCCTCTTATACTCTATCCTCTATAACTTGAACAACTTCCTCTGGTTGTGATTTGCATATCTTTTGTATATTATATGTCTCAATTGACCACATTTATGACATTTCACATCAGGTCTCCACCAATACTTGTTGAGTGTGTGATTATTTTTCTTACAATAAGGACAAACAAAAAATACTTGTGATTTTGTACCTTTGTTGTTCTTGACTTGAAGAGAACCTCCATCATGATATAATAAAGAACCTTCACCAGCAGCATGATCTCCTCTCATCAATCTTCGTTGTTCTTCCGCTTATAAAATATATAACACTTCTCGAATTTTCTCATCCCCATCATATTGATGTTTCAAATAATCTCAAATTTCTTTGGGTGACTTTAGCGTCATGATTTTGGTGAAGATCATTTGTGAAATACCAGCAAACAGACATGATTTAACTTTTGTCTTCCTCATTTTTCTTTCTCTGTGAAATTTCATTTCAGCTATGGTGAGATTTTCATGTAGTGGATCAACAATATAATCTTTTTCTACAGTTTCCCATACATCCAATCCTTTAAGATATGTTTGCATTCTCACAGCCCATAAGTCATAATTTTCGCCATAAAAAACTTGTGAAAAATTTCTTTCTCCTTCCATTGTATCGAACCAAAACTCAGATACCAATTTGTTGAGAATTTTTAAAGTTTTATGTATATGTATTTTTGATATATCATATATATATATTTTTATTTTTATTATATATATATATAGAATAAAAATATTATAAAATATCAAATATAAATAATATTTCAATAATTAAAATAATAATTTAATATTTTTTTTTTTTAATAATAAAATTTTTTAATACCTCGTTTAAATAAAAGATAATTACATTTGCAGGGAAAAGGAATTGAAACCGCAAAACCTGTTATTGAAGCCTTAAAAAGTAAAGGTGCTTCCGCTGTTGGAGTTGCTGGTTTCTGTTGGGGTGGTGAGTGGCTTCCACAAAATTGGTTTTCTTCATCTCCTATTCCTTGTGTATTCTGCAATTCCAGGTCATATTTGGTCTAAACTCACAGAATGTAAAAGTGTTTTCTTCTTTCTCTCAGCTAGGACCGTTACCAACCTTGGGAAAGCCAAACTTGTCCAAGCTTCTGTGCTGTTACATCCATCATATATCACTGTGGATGACATCCGTGGTACGAATTTTCAATGTTTTAGAAACTTTCATAATTTACATACCCAACAACTTCGCATAGTATCTTCTTAAGGGAAAAACTTATTTTAACTAAACATGTTTTGATGCAACATATTTGTATTGTAATCATAAATGAAGTTGAAATCTATGTTTATTCAACCCCTTTCTTGCTGTCTTTCAGTTGTCATTGTTTAATGGTTGCATAAAGATACAAATCTTAAAGCAGTGATTGGGATGTTTCTATTCTGAAACAGTTAATTAATGATCTTACTTTCAGGTGTTAATGTTCCAATTGCTATACTTGGAGCTGAGCATGACACACTGTCTCCTCCAAAGCTTATAAAACAATTTAAACATGTCCTAGATGCTAAACCTGAGGTACGATGAATGCTATTTTCTTTTTGTGGTTATTAACTTTTCTAATCAATTATATGTGTTTATGATATCATTTTGTTGTAATTCGTTGTTATAATTTGGTTCTTTAGAAACTTTACAAACACACGTGAAATTGTGCATTGGACAAATCATTATTTGTCAAATTGGTTTATTTGTCATGGCCATATATGGACATATTTTCTCAAATATCTCTTCAATTTATCACTTGTGTACCAATTTTTGGTTTGTGCAGATTGATAGTTATGTGAAAATATTTCCTAACGTCTCACATGGTTGGACTGTGAGGTACGATCCTAATGATCCGAAAGCTGTGCAGGAGGCAAACAAGGCTCATAAAATCATGATAGATTGGTTTAATAAACATCTTAAGAAGTGAGAAATCTTGTTCTGTGATGTTTGATTGTATCACTGTTTCTGGTTGGACAGTGAAAAATGCTTCTTGTTTCACGTTGTATTTATGAAGAAATAATATTGTCAGAACCAAATGTTAAGGTTCTGATAGATTATGAACTACCAAAAATTTGAGATTCCCCTTAAAATTTGACAAAAGTCAAAATTTGAGTGTCCTGTGTTAAGAATATTTCCAAACTTGTAATAAACATAATCATCATCGCAAAGTCATGTTGTAGGCACGTAAATATATGATAAATACCAAAAGGAACGGTATATACTGAGAGAATATTCAATTAAAAATGCACAACAATCAATTTTTGGTTTAGTCATTAGGCCATATCAAGACATTACAATAAATTCATTAAATAGAAACTGATTTAAAGATTAAAAAAAAATCCAGTTGTATAAATTAATTTAAAAACTATTTTAAAAATTGAGGATATATAGTAAGTGTTCCTATTCTCACTGAATAGGTTTTATAATCAATCATTAACTCAGTCTCCAAAATTAATGCGCAAACTTTTAGCTATTTTTAATTTAGATTTTAATTTAATTTCTAATTATTTTAATGACTATTTCTTCAAACTTAATGATTATTAATTCAATCTCTAAAAAATATTTTTTCTAGTAATAATTAGTAGAATAAAACAAGCATCTTATTCTATTTTAATTAGTTGTTTACTATACTTTAATTAGGGTACTGTTAATTTATATTTATTTGGATAATTATATAAATATTTTAGAAGCAGGAAATATAAGTTAAAGTTAATATAAGAGAATTTCTATATTAAACTAATTTTATTCAACGAAGAAGTTAGTTTCATTTTTTAAAATTAATATTTATGAAAAAATTGTTCAAACAATACGTTTATCCTATTACCTATCATATCTGTTGGTTTAGTATAATTTGTAATGCAAGGAGGGAACATAGGTAGGAAACAATAAGAAAAATATTTTTATTAAATGTGGAGGAAGCATGTCAAATGCTACCTAAAGGAAACAAAGAAACTATTTAGAATGAGGAGAATGAAAAATAAATAAATAAATAGTATTGAATATTATTAAATATGTTCAGAAACCAGAGATAGTGGTTCCTTATTAACTTTGTGCTCATGACATGAACTTGTTGGAGAGTGCCAACTTGACTCTGTATGACATTAAACTGTATAAGAAAATTAGTAAGACTTCTCATAAAACTTTTTGGTTAAGTGTGCATATTAATTTTAATTGTAAATTTACGAAAGTTATTAGTAATAATTAAATCTAGCAAAGCTTGTAACATTGGATGAATCAACGATGAAAATAATACATCACCTATATATATGTGTGTGTGTGTGTGTGTGTGTATTTGGTTAGAAAAACATTTGAGGGCAATGACTTTGAAAACAATGTCAACTAACTCTTTCCATGACGAGAATTTCGTTCCATTTATCATTACAAAATGCTGGAAAAATTAAATTTGATTTATAATTTCTACTTTAACAGATCACTCATCAGCAATCTGAATCATACAACATATACTATAATTAATAAATTTAACTGTTATTTTAACCTTCTTCACTATAGACCACATGATATAGCGGTTAATGCTAGAAATCTGTGATAAATATAAGATGAACATGGAGCTGGAATGTCAGCATAGCGTAAAGAAAAAAGAGAGAAAAAATGGTTGGAGGTGGATGTTTTTCAAATCACCCAATCTTAAATGGAACCAGCGGTGCTGGAAATGTTACCAATATCGGTGGTGTTAATTCCTATGTCACTGGTTGCCCTCTCTCCATCCTCGCCATACTTCTTGTATCCGATGTTTATGGTATTTTCGTTCTTTCTTTTTTCTCAATTAATTACCTTAAAAACTTTTTTTTTTTTTTTTGCTTATATCATTTTGTTAAAGATCTAAACATTGAACTTTTTGTTTATTTTATTTTAAATGATTAAGAAATCTGTGACTTGAGTCATCGTTGTTGGTTATTCTTGTGATGGATTCCTTGTATGGTCGTGTTTATTTATAATTAGAAATCAGAATGGAATATGATATTTTACTCTGCGTTAAATAATTCAATCTGGTGAGAATGTGGTTTCTCTTAATCAGTTTTCACTAGTTTAGCCAATATCTTCATTTAATTTAACATGCTCAATTTATCTTGCAGGATATAAAGCACCAAATTTAAGGTATGGGTAATTTTCATGTTTACTTTCTAGGCCTAATTCTCTCTATCTCTCTGTAACGCTAAATGTAATGTGGTCCCTGTTAAGTAACACTACGTTATATATTGTGAAGGAAAATTGCAGACAAAGTTGCAGCTTCTGGGTATTATGTTGTGGTTCCTGACTTCGTACATGACGACCCTTTTGATCCTAAGAATAAGAAAAGGCCAAACGATGTTTGGGTAAAAGAACATGATCCGGTTAGTTCTTACTTAATGATACTTGCTTGTTTATCATTGATTTAGCAAGAAAAAAATGTTATTTCTTTTCTTCAAAATTCAATATTGGTGTCCTTATTTGAATTTTCTTAACTGATTTTGGTAGAGGATTCAATGAGTTTGGCTTCTGTAACCTAATTATTTTGCGCCTGCCTCAACCGTTTTGGGTGGTTTCTGATTTGTAAATCGAATATTATTATTAGTTTCAATTTAGATGAATAAAAATTGTGACTTGTTTGTACATTTAATACATTCTTTCTGATGCTTACATTACAAGTTAAATTTGTAGGGAAAAGGTTCTGAAACTGCAAGACCTGTTATTGAAGTCTTAAGAAGAAAAGGTGCTTCTGCTGTTGGAATTGCTGGTTTCTGTTGGGGTGGTGAGTGGCTTCCTCTAAATTGGTGTTCTTTATCTCCTCTCCTTCTGTAGCTGGCAATTTCAGGTCACCTTTGGCATAAACTGGGAATGTAATGTGTTTTTCCCTTTCTCAGCTAAGACCGTTACCAACCTTGGGAAATCCGACCTAGTCCAAGCTTCTGTACTGTTACATCCATCGTATATCACTGTGGATGACATCCGTGGTATGAATTTTCATTGTTTTATTATTTCTTAATTTACAAATTCTCTGTATTGGTGATGTAAAATAAAATAAGATACAAAATTTTAAAAAGATAAAGTGTAAAATTTAAAAAAATAAAGTAAACAAACTAAAAAAAATTCCTACTAGACATTAAGATAATTGTACATCTACTGAAGGTTCATTTCCAAGGATTGTGGAAGAAGAGATGAAATAAAACTAGAAAACAATAATGACAAGGGCTGAAAAGATGGACCAACCCCTTGAATAAATAAATGAAGTGAAGAAATAAAGAAGAAAACACTACTGCAGAAAAGGCTTTTTACATCGGTTAAAATGAGCTTTCGACGTCGGTTAAAGCGGCGACATAGATACGGGGGTCATAGAAAGTAAGGCTTTCTACGTCGGTTCCTAATAACCGACGTAGAAAGTAAGACTTTCTACGTCGGTTAATAGGAACCGACGTAGAAAGCCTTACTTTCTTTGAGCTATTATGATCGGTCAAACTGGTTATGATCGGTCATAGAGCTATCTTGATCGATCATAACAGGTTCTGATCGGTCATAGAAAGACTTTCTACGTCGGTTAGTCAGGGAACCGACATAGAAAGTCTTATTTTGTATGAGTTATTCTGATCGGTCATAACTGGTTCGATCGGTCATATACTTTCTATGTCGGTTAACACTTATAACCGACATAGAAAGTACTTTCTACGTCGGGTAATGACATAACCGAGCGTAGAAAGTGTTATTTTTTTAAAAATACCTGCATTTTATTTACAGATGCTACCTTTCTTCGAGTAGACACTGCCTATTCATCACAGTTCCGGACAAATAACCACATATCCAAGTACAGACAGATATGCACAGTTCATATATAAATTTGCTACGAGATATATATCCAAGTACAGACAGATTCGATTGCGAGACAGATATGTACATATGAAACACATTGAAATGAATATATGTACAGACAGATCCGAGTTCCAGACAGTTCATTTACTTAAACGAATGTAAATTTCCTAACTTAAATCAATTCTATCTAAATTGTTACAAGTTAAATTTCCTATGAAGATTGAATGCTTAAATTTCCTATCAAGTTGGAGCATTCTCCCAAAATCCTTCCATATGGTCATAACGGATGACATGCACATCATCTATTTCTACATTAACACTCAAGTTTGGCATATTTGAAGAGAAACATGGTGTCTCGGGTATATCAAGTACTAATTCATCATTCTCATCAGAAGTATACATGGGTTTTCCTTGTAGAACCACTGACCATCCTTTGTTAGCGGGATCAGTGACATAAAACACTTGTTTTGCACTGAGATGCCATGATAAATGGTTCTTCGGTATAACGAGTATTTTCAAGGTTAACCAAGGTAAATCCAAGATCATCGGTGAAGATGCCGAGTATTAAAATCAACCCAATTGCATTTAAAAATAGGTACTCTCGAATATCGTGTAATCTATTACCCAAATCTCTTCAATTACACCAAAGTAGCCCATTGATGCCCTTATCGGATATTTATCCTTTGAACTCGAGAAATGCATTGATTCAGCCACCACCATGACTCCACTATTTTGCATTGTGCTTATTTCATCTTCTCCCTTTGTATAAAATGAATAGTTATTTATATCATACTCACCCCAACATATCACATCAAAGTTTGGCTCACATGCTAGCCACTTTAGTGTATCGAAGTCTGTATTGTCACCTTCAACTTGTTGTTTAAACCACTTCAAAAAGCTCTTGTTGTGTTCAGTGATCACCCACTTTTTAGGCATACGTGGATTATTTCGCTTCACAATCTCTTTATGAGCACTTAAGTAGGGGATGACTTCTTCACTGTTATTCAATATGTACAAATGCGCTTGAAGTACTTCATCTCGACACATTGTCACAACTTTTGCACCTCGAGTTCCTCTACCAAGACCTATTCCATGGTAACGAGTCTTAGGTAACCCTATAGCTTCAACTTCGATAAGTAGTTTGTGCAAAACTCAATAGCTTCCTCTGCAATATATCTTTGAACAATTGATGCTTCGGGACGATATTGGTTCTTCACATACCCTTTTAATATTTTCATGTATCGCTCAAAAGGGTACATCCATCGTAAGAAAACTGGACCACGATTCTAACTTCCCTGGCTAGATGAACAATCAAGTGAACCATAATATCAAAAAATGATGGAGGAAAGTACATCTCAAATTGACATAATATTACTGCAGCCTCATTCTCTAACCGATCCAAAACATCCGGGTCCATAACTTTACTACATATGGCATTAAAAAAAAGCATAATCGAGTTAAGGAATATCTAATATTGTCCGGTAAGATACCTCGAATAGCCACGGGTAGAAGTTGTTGCATCAATACATGACAATCATGAGATTTTAACCCAAGCAATTTGAGATCTTTCATAGATACAAGTCTCTTCACATTGGAAGAGTAACCAAATGGAACCTTCACACCTCGTAAAAACTCACAAAAACTTTTTTCTCTTTTTTAGACGAGTGTGTGACATGCTTGGAGGCAAGTATGTTCGGTTACCATGAGGTTGAGGAGCTAATTGTTCTCTTATACCCATTTCAACCATGTCCAAACGAGCATTGACACCATCTTTTGTTTTTCCTTGAATGTTAAGGAGTGTTCAGATGATACTTGTCACACACATTTTTCTCTACATGCATGACATCTATACAATGCCTCACATCAAGAACCCTCCAATATGGAAGAAAAAAAGGATTGACATTTTCTTCCATATACCTGTGGCTTTCTTTTGCGTCTTTCCAAACTCACACAAAATTGCACTTACTCGTTGATATACTTCTTCCCCACTTAAAGGTGTTGGGGCTGCATCATTTTCTTGACACCCGTTAAATGATTTTTTTAATTTACGATATGAATGGTTTGAAGGAAGAAATCTTCGGTGTCCAAGGTACACTTGTTTTCCTTCCATGTTGTAGTTGATAGTGACATGTGTCTTCTTCACATATCGGGCAAGCTTTATGTCCCTTTGTGCTCGTAGCCACTCAAATTACCATATGCTTGGAAAGTCATTAATTGTACAAAATAACATTGCACGCAACTTGAATAAGTCACCTGTGTACCCATCAAACACATCAACACCTTCCTCCCACAACATCTTCAACTCTTCAACCAATGGGCTTAAAAAAACATCAATGTCATTTTCAGGTTGTCCGGGACCCGAGATCATCAAAGATAGCATCAAGTACTTACGTTTCATACACAACCACGGAGGTAAGTTGTAAATAACTAACACCACGAGGCCATGAACTATGTTTACTTGCTTAAATTTCCATATGGATTCATTCCATCTGTAGCAAGTCCAAACCTAATGTTTCTTGGATCATTACCAAAATTCTGGAAGATGGAATCAATTTTTTCCATTGCAATCCATCTGCCGGATGCCTCAACTGACCATCTTTAATACAACTATCCGCATGCCATCTAGTGAGCTTTGCATCATTTCCATTAGTGAACAATCATTTCAACCTTGGAACAATGGGAAGATACCATAACACTTTTGCCGGGTACCCTTCATAACATCATTGTCGAATCACCATCCTTCTTCTTGTATCGTGATTCCCCGCATTGTGGACATTCGTGACAGTTCTCAAATTCTTTCTCGTACAACACACAATCATTCGGACATGCATGAATTTTTTGGTACTCCATACCCATTGGACACAATATCTTCTTAGCATCATAATTGCGGGTTGGCAATGTGTTACCTTCGGGGAGCATGTCACTCAACAACTCAAGCAATTCTCGTGAAACTTTTATCGATCCACCCATTCTTTGCCTTCACATTGAACAATTTTAGTACCGTCGACAATCGTGTGAACTTAGTACAATTTGTATACAAAGGCTCTTTTGCATCATTGGACAACTTCTCGTACACATGTGTGTATTGGAAGGCATCTTGTCCAAACTCACGAATCATTTCCTCCAGCTGATCATCCATCTCTAGATCAACTTCTTCTTTGTCTTCTACACTTGGCATGTTTAATAATTCACCATGCCATGTCCACTTTATGTAACTCTTTAGGAAACCATCACAAAGAACATGTTCCCGAATAACTTCAGTTGGTAATCTTCGCTCATTCAAGCAGTTAACACAAGGGCAATAGAATCTTCCATCATTATCTGGAACATTCATCTTAGCAAATTCAAGGAATTGTTCTACTCCACTCTCATATTCATTTGTTGTTCGTCTGTAATTGATCCAACTCCGATCCATTGTTACAAATCTAATTTTCAAAATCAAATTAGCTACGAAACACGAAATAACTACATTATAATGCCTACACGAAATCCAACTCCACTCTCAAAATAACTACATTATAATACAAATCTAATGTTCAAAATCAAAATCACGAAAGAATGCCGACAGAAACACATTCAAATGACTAAACTACTTACAATACATCTCTAAATTAGCTAAAGACACCCGTGATGTTTCCCTCTCTTGACAGCATTATTACTTACTAGATTCAATACTGTAAACCTACATTGGCTAAAGCAAGCACGAAAACTTACCTCTTGAAGACCTACAGAGGTGGCAGGTGGCGTGACGTGCAGAGTTGGGTGAGGAGAAACGTATCCAAGGCGACGGGCACCAGTGAGCGGCAGGGCGGCACGAAGTGTTGGCAGGTGGCGTGACGAGCAAATGTGGGTGCGGAGAAACGTATACAAGCGAACGGGGAGCTCTGGTATGGGTGAACTGATGAAAGGAAATGGAGCGTAGGGAGAAACGTACGGGGAGCTCTGCTATGGGGGAAGTGATGAAATGAAATGGAGTGGGGGGGGGGGGGAAGTGATGAAATGAAATGGAGCGCGGGGGAGGGCAAAACAGAAGATACTATGTCGGTTGCCCTAACACCCGTCATCAAAGACACTTTCTACGTCGGTTAAAATTTACCCGACATAGAAAGTTCATTTTCTACGTCGGGTAAATGTTACCCGATATAGAAAGTTAACTTTCTATGTCGGGTAAATTTTAACCGACGTAGAAAGTGACCTTTCCACTTACTATGTCGGTTAAAACTTACCCGACATAGAAAGTTTATGATTTTATTACAAAATTGCCACCGCGCCACATACTATGACGGGTGGATTACGACCGTGATAAAAACCCGTCATAGAAAGCTATTTTTCCACTAGTGAAAAATGAAAAGAAGTATGGTAGTGGTGGAGTGTTGACACGCCATTAGGGGATGAACCACCCTAAATAAGTGGTGGTTGTCGCCACATGAAACCAAAGTTCAAGATAAAAAACTCAAAAAGATGAATCACTCTAAGAAACCTCACAAACTTATAATAAATGTTCAACCTAATTACATGAGAGAAACCTTCTATTTATAAGCTTTTGAGGAGGGACTTAAATGAAATTACAAGAGGAGACATAAACTTAGCCTAAACCTAAAGACTAAGAGTCTCTATATGTTAAATTCGTCCTAGCCTACCAAAAATGTCTCTAAGGGTGTGGAGAATATGAAAAAAATGTGTGCTTCTTTTTGGGTTGTTCCAAGCATACCAATCCTGCATCTCAAACTTCTTCCTCTCCAAAAAGGGGTGTAGGACGGAAAAAAGGAGTGTCCTACACCTTTGAACTGTCTATACATGTATCCTATATGTCCAAGCCTTCTTTTTTACCAAAAAGAGGTAGTGCTCTTAAAAAAGAAGGTGCATAAAGTGGTCCTACAAAAAAAATGCGAAAATAAGTTTCTAAAATTTACAAAAAAAAAAAATGCCAAGAAAATTGAAACTAGAAGGAAAGGAAGAGGCCTCCCTTTTAATCATGCTCGTAGTGATCCTCTAATGGATGACCTTTGTGGTCTCCGGGCAACTAAGGACTCATCAATTGGGGTCCCAACTTCACATTCTATCTTATAAAGGGAAAAATTACTTACATGGTCATGTTTGTCTTGATGCATACCAATACCTACTGCTTGTTACGGAAAAATCCATTTTTATCACCTAATCAAAAACAATTTTTTCTTTTTTGAAGATCACTGATGATGTTTTTATTTGAAAGATGAGTAAAACCTGTAATGATAATGGTGTTTGTATTTTTGAATGGTTGAATAGAGAGATACAGAAGAAGTAATCTTAAAGCAGTGATTGAGATGTTTATATTCAATTAGTTAATTATTGATCTTACTTTCAGGTATTAAAAGTCCTATTGCTATACTTGGAGCTGAATATGACTCACTCACTCCTCCAAAGCTTGTAAAAGAATTTAAACAAGTACTAGATGCAAAACCTGAGGTAGGATGAATGTTAGTTTCTTTTTGTGGTTATGTACTGTCATTTTACATTAGCTTGATGATTTGAAAAAATTAGCTACTGTAGTTAATTACCTGTCATGATATCATTTTGTCAAAGTGGTTTCTTCTTTATTGTCTTTAATGAACACATTTTCTCAAATATCTCAAGTAGTTTATCTCTTGTGAATAATTTTTGTTTTGTGCAGGTTGATAGTTATGTAAAAATATTCCTGAACGCCTCACATGGTTGGACTCTGAGGTATGACCCTAATGATCCAAGAGCTGTGAAGGAGTCAGACGCGGCTCACAAAATCATGATAGATTGGTTTGATAAACATCTTAAGAAGTGAGAATCTTGCGTATGAATTGTTTTTTGGAGGACGGAGAATACATATTCCACGCTGTGTTATTTATGAAAAATAAATCGTCAGGAGCAATGTTAAGGGTGTGAGAGAGTATGGATTCGTTAGGTATGTAAACGAATGATAAATTCCAAATAGGAATTGGTGAGTATCTTTTAAAAATGATTTCAATACGACTTAAGACAGTATGACCAGAAATTGATATTCTTTAATAAACTAGTCATTGAAAAATTAAAAGATCAATGTCTTCAAATTATTCGGTAGTAAGTATATAGTAGCATTGTAGCCTGCTAAATCCCGGGCACTGCATGGCTACTTCATACTCATGTCAATGCACGGAGTAAAGGAGTAATTTTATATTGATAAAATCACTTTGTTAGGTCTCCAGTTACTCTAGGAATGGGAAAGAAAGAGAGGAATCAGAGATGAGCAAGGATAAAATAGGATCATTGTATTTTATAACAGAATACAAGAACAAATAGGAATATATTTTGTTATACCAGAATATTAGAGTCTTAAATGAGTAGGAATGGGGTTATTGTGATGTCAAGAGAAGTGAGTTTGTCATTAAGAAATGTAGAGGGAAAGGGGAGAGAAAATTGGGAGAAGATGTTGCAGTCCTTCTAAGTTCTGCTTAGTGCTTATCTGTTATTTTCGTTTCTTTTCTTTTCCATTACCAATTCCGTATATTGATCTACTTCAGTAAGATACCAGTTCCTATTCGTTCTTATTACTTGGTTCTTACAGTCTCCAGCAAAAAAGTTATGGTGATTTATGCATTTAACAGTTTCGACAAACAAGAACAAAATGAACACCTTTAATTAGGCATGGAAGCAGGGATTTATAATTTTGACTTTACAACATCTTCTCTTGTAGCTTAGACTAAATTGGACATCGCCATTGTTGTATCCAGTTGAAATCGGTAGTGTCAGCTATGAACTGATTGTCCTTGTTTATAACTTGGCTATATATCACGCTACAATGCAATGCATCCACGGTTAAGGCTAACCTAAAATCCAAGTGAAAGAGTGGAAGGATTCAAATTGCAAACATTAGCACATTAATTCATAAATCAAAACATACGGATGAATTATCAGTTTCATCATTCCTCTTTCACCCTCTCCTGTACAAGAAGAGTTCACTAGTAGTAACACAAGGATAATGTCAAGAAAACAGTAAAAGTATCACAGCCTATTTCTTCTAGTACAATATTGTTAGTCTTCTTCAGCTTGATCACTATCACAAGGGAGTGAAAGTAGTGACTCGGTATACAAAGCCACCTGGGATGCATGTCGACTATTGCAATAGGATCGATGCTCTTGAGGCTGTCCTTCACTGTTACATTTCACCAATCCATTAGCTCCATCTGTCCCAACAATATCACCACTTTTTGTAGAGCAAATTGGGGTGAACTGTTGAGTAGGAATCTCATCAACAAACACCTCAACACTCTTAGTCCAAGATGACTGCATTTTGTACTCTTTCATCACCCATATATCTGCTGGACATTGACACCCCACAACACATATACTAAGAAAGTCTCCAAATACTGCCAAATGGCAAAAATCAAGCTGGCTTATGAAATCATCAGGCAGAAGTATCTCTGAGAAACTCCTTTCTGCTAAATCAAAAACAACAATAACATTCAGTGACACATCATAACGAAAAGCCAACCAATGAATAGCACCGTTAAAGAGCACCCCGGGTTTCATATCATCACAGCAATTCATGTAAGACAAATGAATGCCCTCAATTTCTTTCCACGCATTAGCTCTGACAGAGAAAACCTCCACACGGGTATCACCTTCTAAGTCAACTTTGATGGAACCTTGAACCACCAAGTAGTCATCTGTTGAAGGGTCATACCCAAAACCATGGAGAAACGTGTAAAGCATGGTATCCATATCCGATGCAATAGGTGAATGACACACTTGTTTGTGGATACCTGTTGATGGATTCCACAAACAGAGATTTTGGAAACAGTCCAAAAGTACAAACCCCCTACAAGAACCAAGGATTTGAACATAAGTGGATTCTGGGGACATAAAATTGAGGTTTAATGCAGCCGAAGCAGAAGGATCATGAAGAGAGCCATTTAAGTCTATGGACCGGAATTCAGGAACAATAGGTTCCAAGAACACAAGTCTCTCCGTGCATGCTGCAGCTAGTTCAAAATGTGATATTGCAAACTGGGAATCAGAGATTAAAGAAAACCATGATTTACACACACTTTTGAAACGAGCTAGAGACTTAACCGGCAACCTCAACAGGATGTGCAAGATTAAATCCAACGGCAGAAGCACATTGGTCCTGTTCCTTCTCCTTCTCCTTGTCCTTGCTCCTCGACAATTGTCTCTCTTCATTTTACTGTCCTTCAATATTCTGTATGCAGCATATAACTCAACATATAGAGAGGAGATAGAAGAACCCTTCTCTAGTACTCTTCCCAAGCTTCTTCCTTCTTCAGTACTCTTCGTATATACCACAAATAAATGGTTGAATGGTCAACTAAACCATGTTTGTTTATAATTATTTATGTTGAATGGTCAACTGTTGTTTTACTTGATAGTTTTTGTATCATAATCTTTTTTCTTATATTTAAAAAATGTATATATTGGAAAAAAATTTTATTATGATTAAATATTTACTTTTTTTCAATCAAAAGTATTTCTTTCTATTAAATTTTTACCATAATACATTAGGACATATACCTCTTTAGGTTCATCTAATAAAAGATCTGGTGTTAATCTAATAGTAAAAGATTTAGTAATTTGTAGAAATTTCAAAACCTTTAATATTTTTTTAAAACCACTGATTTCATTTCTAAAGTATTGCCATTTTTTACATAACCTTTTTTAAAATCATTTTTGGAGTATTGAATATCCATTACTCTAACCATAAGATGATGTATTTCAACAAATATCAGAAGCTAATTTAAAGTTTTTTTTTAGCATTTAAAAGATTAATTAACATAATTTCTAATAATTTAAAAAATGAAGCTGATCTTATTACTAGTGTTCCTTCCCGGGTACTCTTGTACATGTACTCTTCGGTGGGAATAGTTGAATATCTACAACGAAAGGTTCTTGAACGGTCAACTATGTCATGCCCATTAATGGTTCAAAGTAGTTGAGAAAATCTACAAGAAATGTATTTTTTATTACCACTTTCTTTATTAAAAAATAATTAAGATTCTTAAGAAATGTATTAAAAAAAACAAGAGCAAATAAGTTGTAATTTAGGGTGTATTTCGTTCCCCCGTTAACTTATCCACTAGTTGAACGAGCGAAGAGTGATATGCAAAGTACAAACTATTTATTCTTACAAACCAATTTAAAATGGATATTAAGAACCACACATAAACTTAATTTGGACCAAATATATATACTTAAAGCTGTTGTAACATGCCTAATAATTCTTTGAGACTTTGATGTCCCTGTGAAATGCTTCAACGTTATATGGGTAAACATGTTATAAATAAATGTTTCAATTTAAATAATCATAAATATTTATTTTATTATTATATGATTTATTTTATTAAACTTAGAAATCTTATTATTATTATTATTAAATATAGTGTTTGGTTGATAACATTTTTAATGTTTATTATTATATTTAAATTATTATTTATTATTTGTTTTGAAATTCATTATGTTTAAGTTATTGTCTATTTTTATTCTCTTAATTTTATCTTTAAAAACATCTTAATAAATTAAAAGAGGTGAATATATATATATATATATATATATATATATATAAATTATTATTGAAAAAAAGACATAAGTTCAAATTAATTTATATCAAATTTAAAAGTTAGCTCTTAATGAAACACATAAGAAATTTTCTACAAATTAATTTCCATATAAATAAAATTTAATTTGCAAAACAATTTATTAATTTTACTTTTTTTATAAAATTATTTTTCATAAAATAATTTATTTTTAATATTTTTATAAGTATTTTTGAAAAATTTACCTAACTATAATCTTAATAAATAATAATAATAATAATAATAATAATAATAATAATAATATTATTATTATTATTATTATTATTATTATTATGAGAAGGTCTACAGTTGGCCCAATACCAAACAGTAAACAGTAGATGGAAAGGGCTTAAAAGTATAAGTTGAAGCTCAAAAGGGCCCAATAAGAGGCTGTGTAGATCCTAAACCCTAAATACAGAGTCGCAAGTCTTACTCTTTGCTTTTGGTAATTGTCGCTTAGTTCCGAACGGAAGAGCACCGGCGCAGCTTCCCTGAGACTTGTCTTCTCTGTTGGTAAGATTAGTATTATTCACTCTATTCTTGAAAACTGGTTCCATTTGAGTGTGTGATCTAGTTTACACCATAATAATAATTGATTGATTCTGATTGCTACTTGCGTGTCAGTGAGTGATTATGGTGAGGGTTAGCGTCTTGAACGATGCTCTCAAGAGCATGTACAATGCAGAGAAAAGGGGGAAGCGCCAGGTCATGATTAGGCCATCCTCCAAAGTCATTATCAAATTCCTTTTGGTGATGCAAAAGCACGGTATCGCAGTTGTTAAAGTTTTTTTTTTTTTTTGTTTAATGATTTAGTTCGTGTTAAATAATTGTTTCGTTCCGGTTCTTTACGGTGTAGGATACATCGGAGAGTTTGAGTATGTTGATGACCACAGGGCTGGTAAAATTGTGGTTGAGTTGAACGGTAGACTGAACAAGTGTGGGGTTATTAGTCCTCGTTTTGATGTCGGTGTCAAAGAGATAGAACCTTGGACTGCTCGGCTTCTTCCCTCAAGACAGGTCAGTTAAATTTATTTTATTAATATGAACTCTAAATTACCAAAATGTTTTGTATAATGCCATATAATTAAAACTTATTTCAGTACTTTCTTATGTTACCATTCTGTCAAGATTGTAAATAATTTGAAAACTGTGATCTTCCATATAAAAGGGTTGATTGTGGGGGATTAAATTACTTCCATGTTGGAAATTTTTATGTAAGGATCGAGTTAGATTGTCAAGACACTTGTTGCATATGTGCTAAGATTATTTTTTTATTATTCTAGCGGGGCTGTGACATTAGCCCTCGATCATCAGATCAACAAGTGAACTATATGTAATTGGTTACTCTGTGATATTGAATACAAATGGTTGCTCTAGTTATCCCTAACCTTTTGTTTATACGTGTCGTGCAGTTTGGGTATATTGTATTGACAACATCCGCTGGCATCATGGATCATGAAGAGGCTAGGAGAAAGAATGTTGGTGGTAAGGTACTGGGTTTCTTCTACTAGGTTATTTTGAATTGAGGATGGAAGTGATTTCAATTTTGAGACTCCCCGGTTGTAATGGAGGATATGCTAGTCCCCTAGTTATATCAAAGTATAGCAGGAGATAATTTGTGATGCTCTTTATTTTGTTTGCAAAATCAAGTTGGTAACCGAAACTTTTATGTTTTCTTTATCATTATTTTTTCTTATACCAAAATGTACTGGTCAAGTTGTTTTAATCGGTGAGACCGTTGATTAGAAACTTGATGCGCCGTGATGTTTGAGATGGTGTGTGGATGAGTTGTAGCTTGATATTGCGTTGAATAGATTGAATTTTGAAATTAGTTTATTTCTGCTTCCAGAAGAAAAATTCATCTTTATAAACCAATATTAGATTATGCTGATTCTAATTTGATATTAACATGATTTTATCAAGCTAGTATAAATCTTTCCAGCGTGAATTAAAAACTTTTTAACTATAAAATTTTGACCCTGGAGGGAGCTATTGGCAGTAGTAGACTATCAATTAGTTAGTGAAAAGTGTCATCACTTAACTGTACATGTCCTGTAAAGGGGCGTGGACATTTGCTAACAATTGTGGTCATCTTTTTTATCTTGCCTAGTTGTAGTCTCAATTGCGTTGAACATATTTGCTTTCAGTGATTATATTTTGAAGTCCATTGTAAGTTATTACGACTTGTGTGGTACGTGTGCATGGTCTAATTGTTGTAGATTAGATGGGTTAATCATGGGCCTAAATTTGCTTGTCTATTAATTACAATAAAAGTGTAGAGAATGGTGAAATGTATAAAAAGATTAGAGTATCGTATTTATTTTGTGAGGAGGAATATAAGACCAATGGTAAGCAAGAAGTAGTTTTTTCTGAGCAACCTTGCTTTAACATGGGAATAACTTGTAAAAGAGAGGGGGTCGTACGCAAACTGTTTTGTTATTATTTTTAAATTTCTTAATGTTAGATGAACTTGTTTTCAATAAAAAAAGTAATTATAGTGCCAAGAGAGAATGTTTTAATGAAGTTAATGTAAGTTTGAATTAATATGTAATTAGTATGAAATGTTTTATAATTTTTTATTATTTAATATATTGTTAAATGACGTTTTATTGTGTTAATTTTTTAATGCTATTACCCTTTTATATTTTATATTTTTCTGTTAGTAGCCTACTAACTCCTTAAGAAAACGGGTAGGGAATGATGTTTAAGATTTTCAAAGTATACAGTTATAATTCATCAATTGAATTAATAAATATTGGATCTGTATTGTGTTTTATTTTATATGAAGTTATAAATTGTGAATATTTTGGATAAGTTCTATATCGATGATATTTGACGTATATAACGTGCTATTAAAAAGATAAATATTAGTCATTAAATCTTATTATGAATTATTAATATTACAAATCATGAATGATGTAAGATTAAAAAACACAAGTCATGTGACTTTCTTTAGAAAGTCATATACTCTGTTAATTAATTAGTGATTTGACATTGATATAAAATTAATATATATTCTCAAATAAAAATGACATCCAACCTTTGTATGACGCTCTAGTTAATTTGACCCACTCGTATGAAGTGAATGTAAAGGCATGCCTGAAATCTGAAGTTCTGTACCTTTATAGGTCATAGCTAAGATAATGCAAAATCTTTCTTATGGTAAGATAATATAATATTTTCCAGCAGGAGAATCAGGTTTCTAAATACTTAAAGGCTCTAGCTTTGTTCTAGATGTGGAATTTGAACATGAGGCTAAGTGTCTGTGGTCATTTTGGACCTGTTGGGGACTAATTGAGCTTGGGCTGAGCCAACTCTAAAATATGGTCACAAGAGGCATTACCCACTTGTTGATGCTTCCACAAAGTGTCTTTTTACAAGGTCTGGCATAAGTCAGATCTAGAAAAGTAGTAATCCTAATTTCTAACTTATGTTGATAGGAGATTCTAGTTTGCTAATGTTTATCCGATATCTGGTTGTGTTAGATCTAGAACATATTTTAATATAAAATTCAAGTTTAAATAAAATTGATTGAAACATAAACATTTTGTTAAGCAACTTTGTCCCAATGTTAAAACTTGTGAATTCGTGACTATTATCTCTAACTTTCCACCACTGAGTTAATCAAAATGAGTAGACGTACACTTTTTATTTAGCCAACACTTCAAAATTCCAATGTAAAAACAAACTGAGACAAGAGCATGTCATGCAGAAGAAACAAAGTGAGGTAAAATTGTATTTTCCAATAACACATTGTAGCTTCCAATAACACATTGTAGCATGTTGTACATGGATCTGTTCTGCGATCAAATTATTGGGCGGAAGTAATGGATATAATATTGGAGGATCGGTTGGCAATCCAAAATGTTCTGGTCTTCCATGGAAGGCACCCAACTGTATGTTGTCTACAAACTGCTCCATTCTCATCTTCAAATGAAAATTTTTGGAAAAGGTCACATGAAAACTTGTCTGCTTGTCTGTTTGAATATGCCAAGGATTTCAACCCACAGCTCACATCTACAACGAATACGCTGGAAAGGAACATTTGAGAGCCTCTTGTATGTTTTCGAGTTTGAGGTCTCAACAATGAACACGTAATTTTTTTCTGCCTTTTATCTTCTGGCTTTAACTAAAAGTTAGATATATGATATCTCCCGCAAGTTGGGAACTGAAAACAATCATAATTTTTTAAAGGTGCATTGGGTGTCACCTTCGATGGCACCTTGTATTGTATACATGCCCTAATTTCAATACAATGTTTCGAAGATTCAGATCGTAAACAAGATTTCTGAGTAGGGCTACAATGTTTCGGCTTTTGCTGATATATAAATATTATATCTTCCGAAAACAATCATGTTGGGAAGCACATAGTAATACGAAAATTCTACTGATGACTAAATGTGCAACAGGGAAACTGAAATTATAACTTGATGAGTTGTCTTCTGAAAATTTAACAATACATGAAATAATTAGATACGTAATTTATCAACTACAACTAAATTATTAAAGCTTGGAACGATCACATCTTCGTCATGAACTATATAACGTTAATTTACAATAGAAAATATTAAAGTTTTACAAAATTATTATTATGCACAAGAGAAATGTTATGAAAATTTTTAAAATATTATATATTTTATCACGATGTTAAATCTGGAAATTATAAATATTCTTTTATGAAAAATGACAATTATTGCTCGTAGTATCGGATTTATGCGTGATATGTATTTGTAATTTTAATGAACTTAAGATTATCTTAATTGTTAATTCATAATAACATAATTATGTTGTAGGATTTTTATAAGATAATAAAAAATTACATATTTTATTATTAATATAATAGGTATTATCTTTAACAATTAGATAACAAAGTAAATAAAATCGTAAAAAATGAATGAAGTTATGGAATTCGATATTATATTTAAAGTATTTAATTGTAACCATTTATATTAAAACAAAAAAAAAATTAAAAATCGGTTGAAATGGGTGAGGACTGAATAGATAGAGTGATGGAGTGTGAAGAATTCACTCTTCAAATAAAAAAGGAAAGACTTTAAAGAATTTAAAAGCACGTCGGGTGAACCCGACCAAATAAATTTACTATTAAATGTTTTTAGTAGTTAATCATTTCGTATTTAACTTACTCAGTTTATTATGGGCACTTTAACTAAAATACTAGGAGTGTATTATTCTTAGTTCTTTTTTACCAGAAAAGATCTTATTCTTTAACTCACATTGTTATTCTTTAAATAACTTTTAGAATCTTTCACTTGACATCTACATATTATTGAAGTTGATAATTGCCAGAATAGTTCTGAGAGTAACTCTAAGGCAAGTACCAAGTTACTTAAAAGTACGTGTGTTTATAAAAAAATGTTGTTGGAATATTTCGATATTACAGTAACAATTTTAAAAAGTTAAGCAGGTATTAATATTCTTAAAAGTTATTTTTTTTTTAAATTTGTTTCTACAGTTCTCACTAATAAAATTCAATAAATTAAAAAATATAAAAAATCATTTCATATTTTTAATATTTTTTTAGTTTATTTTTGTTGTCATTGTTTAATATTTTATATCTTAATTAATATTAATCAGAATTCTAATATCAATTTTATTTTTAATTTTTTTAATTTAAATATATTATTATTTTATTTTAATAATTAATTATATATTATAATTATTACATATGTGATATAGCTAGTTACATTAAAATTAAAATTAAAAGTGATAGTTAAATAATAAATTGTTTATAAAAATGCACCACTAAAATAAATTTATAAAAATTTAAAAAGAATTATTTAAATAGGATGCAACAGTGTAAGTCTCACTTAAAAATATAATAAAGATTCTTACAAGAACCACGGTCGGAAATGCTCTTGTTTCAAGGTGTCATCTTCAAAGTCAATTTTCTGATGATAATGTGAAGGTTCATCCTTGTTAGTTTGAGCGTTGATCAACATGTTTGAAGCAAATTTTAAAATAAAATTAATTTAATTTTATGAAAAATGGTAGAATGAGAAAAATTGAGTGGCCAAAATGTTTTTGGAAATAGCGGTAGTTTTAAATCAGAGTCATGTTCGAATTATGATAACCGTAATTATTTCCCAGTCATTCCCCTTTATCTTGTGTGTCTCTGTTACCGAGCTTAATACATACACCCCACCACTACACCCTTCATCAACTTCACTACGTTACATTGGATCACTTCTTTTCTCCCGTTCTCACTTTCAGATCCAAAACCTTACCTTTTTCTGACTCTCACTTCTTCATACTAGCCTCTGGAATCAGCTTCTTCAATTTCCCTCTCCCACACCAAAAAAAGAATCTTGCTCTCAAATCTCCACCATTTCCTTTTCTTCTGTCTCTGTTTAATATTTTTTATTCACCCCCGTTAGTGATTATCGCCACAAGATTAGTTATTTCCGCTAATTCTCCGCTTAATTCGTTAGACTAACTCATTCTCCAACGTGATCTGTAACTGGGGCATTTTCACAACACTTTTGGTACTTCCGCCAAATTGTCTAAGTTGTTTCTTGTTTCCTCTTCCGAATTCTCCGTCTCTTATACAGTGCTGTGTAGTGTGGATTACGTTCCTTTAATCGCGGTTGTTATTTTAGCCACCAAATTTGTCTTCGTACTATTGAGCTCTGAAGTTCTTTTTTTGTTCTTCTTCTTAATTTATCCTCTCTCTTTTTTCTTCTTCTCATTTTTCACTTTTACTTCTTTACTGCATTTTGATCACCCCCTCGTGATCCGGGAATTCTTGTGGTATTTTAAATTAACTGGAAGTGGTGGTTGGTGATCTGAATTTGAGTTACTGTTGAGGGGGTTGTCCGATTATTAACGAGTTTTATGCTTAGTTTTCAAGATGCCTCATGATCAGAGAAAAAAGGTATAGTTACTCGATCAACATAGCTGTATACACTATTGTGAAGACAATAATTACTCCATGTTTTGTCATTTCTGCATTTATATATAGTACGGATAGGATGTCTACCCTTTGTATTGAGTTTTGTTCTTGCAAACCTTCTAGTATTGCCTAGTCCCCGGTACTGATTTTTTTTTTTTTTTTTACATCTTTCTATTATGACCGTATTGTACTTATGACATGCTATCTGGTTCTGAGAGTTATTTTGGCTTGTGAGAGGTCCTGCAGAAAGTTTTTCATCTTTTAAGCTCTCTTGTCAGCTATTATGCTTACCTTATCTACTGAGCGCAGACATTGCAATGGATTTAAGATTCTTTAAAGAGTTGTTCCCTCTTCATGCCAGTTTAAATCTTATAACATCTAGGAAACCTTTTTCATGAAACAGTATGCGGAATATAGAATACATGGCTTATTCACTAGAAATCACTGGATCGTTTTGGTCTGCTTTAATTTTCTTTTTATGTTGGGGTTTTGGACAATATTAGGTTGGCTGTCAATGGCTTCACTGGGGCTTGATACCGGCTGTGACAAGATCTCAATGCATATTTTTCAAAATCATCAATTTTTATATTTTAAATTAGATGCATGCTCTTGATAAATGGCAATAACAAAGTTTGAACTAGGACCTTGTGCAGCAAGATTTTAAAGTAGCTCAATTTCTTAGTTTACTCTATCTTTAGAAATGACATGCTATTCCGAAATTCTCTCTTTTTAATAAATTATGCTTATTTCATATTCCCTTTTAATTAAAGTTTTAGTTTTTATCTGAAGGAAATATCCATACATTCTGTAGTTTTATACATTTCTTTATTTTAATTTTACCCAAACTTAAGAACCGCCCTGCAATATTTTGGATACCTGTTACTACAATCAGAATAAGTACGCTAGTGCTGTAGCTAGTTTTAGTATTCCTTTTCCCTTTTCCTTGTTACATTTTAATTGGTACTTCAATTTGTGCTTTCATGAATAGTTTTGTGAAAAGGTACGTGAAAAAAATATAGCTGGTATTTGCTTAATTTTCCTTTTATCTATAAATTTTTTTATTAATATTTAAAATCTATAGAAAAGAGAATTATCCTTACTGTTAGAGGAATGAGTCTAATGTACTCTGGGTGATTTATAAATAAGTACATTTATATTCGTTGTCTAAAAGCTTTTGTCTTGCTTTCTTTTCTGTTGGCATATGGACACAAACTTTAGATTCTGTGTTGCCACTTATAGAGATATGAAACCTCATTCTGTTTTCATGTGTTGCTGCTCACTTAAATCACGACTTTTGGCTTTATTTGTTATATTCACGCAGAGTCTAATTTGTTGTGTTTATGCAGTCATCTGTAGATGTAGACTTCTTTACAGAATATGGCGAAGGGAGTAGATACAGAATAGAGGAAGTAATTGGTAAAGGAAGCTATGGTGTTGTTTGCTCCGCATACGATACACACACAGGAGAGAAGGTTGCAATAAAGAAAATCAATGACATATTTGAACACGTTTCTGATGCCACCCGTATTCTTCGTGAGATCAAGCTTCTTAGACTCTTACGCCATCCGGATATTGTGGAGATCAAGCATATTTTATTACCTCCTTCTAGAAGGGAATTCAAAGATATATATGTTGTTTTTGAACTTATGGAATCTGATTTACACCAGGTCATCAAAGCAAATGATGATTTGACTGCAGAGCATTACCAGTTTTTTCTCTATCAGCTTCTTCGAGGCTTGAAGTATATACACACAGGTTATGATCTTTATATTTGGCTAGCTTTGATTTTTGTATTTCTTAATGTACCTTTTTCATTGTTAATATTTATACAAGAACTAGTTGCTAAATCACATGATCATTGTGGCTGATTTTAAACTTCTTAATGGGTTTGTAGCAAATGTTTTCCACCGAGATCTGAAACCAAAAAATATTTTAGCAAATGCTGACTGCAAACTGAAGATTTGTGACTTTGGTCTTGCCAGAGTGGCTTTCAATGATACACCAACTGCTATATTTTGGACAGTAAGAATCTTTTTCCTCTGAAGTACTTGCCTTAAGCATAGTTTTCCTTCTCTGGGCGTCATGTGTTGTTTATGCTCACCACCTGTTTCCTCACAGGATTATGTTGCTACAAGGTGGTATAGAGCTCCTGAATTGTGTGGATCCTTTTTCTCCAAGGTTCAATATCTGTGACCATTTTTATCCTGGATACTGCTCTCTTTTAGCTCATATTTATCATTGCTTGGAATCTAAAAGTTGGGCACATTGCTTTTGTTCTCTCATCCTTCTTGTCTCTTTCCTCAAGCCAATATGCAAGCATTCAAGGAATCTCTTGGACTTTTATGTTTTTTAACTGCTGTTAACTTATAAGGGTTAAAGTTAAACAAACAAACTAACCTGTGTTGAAAGTTGAGATATTTCATCAATTTTTGTTTCATACACTAATATGCTCCAATTGAAAAATTTTAGTTGCACACTTACATGATTATTGGTTATGTGTTGTTTACTTTATAGTCAAACAAAAAAAGTGATTGCTATTGTTTGTGAAATGAAGATGGATAATGACTGTTACAAACTTTTTTCTTTCAGTATACCCCAGCAATAGACATATGGAGCATTGGCTGCATTTTTGCTGAACTTTTAACTGGGAAACCTCTTTTCCCAGGGAAGAATGTTGTCCATCAATTGGACCTCATGACTGATTTTCTTGGAACACCATCTCATGAAGCCATTGCTAGGGTTTGTTGTTCATTTGCCAATCCTTTGTGTCCTTTATTTTGTTACTTCATAACCCTGGCAATGTTAACAGGTACGGAATGAGAAAGCTCGGAGATACTTGAGTAGCATGCGCAAGAAGAAGCCAGTTCCTTTCTCCCAAAAGTTTCCTAATGTAGATCCGCTTGCTCTTCGTGTGTTAGAAAGAATGCTGGCATTTGAACCTAAGGATCGACCTACTGCTGAAGAGGTTAAATTTCTATCCATCTGTTAACTTTCCACATATCATGTTTCGTTTTAATCAGAATACTCTGTATAAAATAATTAGGCTCTAGCAGATCCATATTTTAAAGGCTTGGCCAAGGTTGAGAGAGAGCCTTCTGCTCAGCCAATTACCAAGATGGAATTTGAATTCGAGAGACGTAGGATAGCAAAGGAAGATGTGCGAGAGCTTATATACCGAGAGATTCTGGAGTACCATCCAAAGATGTTAAAAGAACATCTAGACGGAGAAGAGCCAATAGGATTCATGTATCCAAGGTACTATTGTCCAAACCTGTACCAAAATTTCTGTTTCACTTCTCACTCTTTTGCATGTGTTTGAACACTGAATGAGATCTGTGAATTCAAGATGGAGTGATATACTATATAACAATCAAATAATACCGTTTGGTCAACATTTTTGTTCTACCCTTTAACTAATTTCATATATAAGTATTTGGAGGTTTTCGTCTTCTCCACTTGTTCTGTATTTTCCTCTTCTTCTAATGAATTCCCTGTTTAAAGTAAGATAGAATTATGTTGTTACTTGTGAGCCATAAAATATCTTTTGTTATAAAGAATATGCATTTTTTCCTCCACCCAACATATGCTTAAGTTGTTCTGCTCTAGATCCTCAAGCATCTTAAGCAATTCCTTTCAATACCTACTTACTAATGTTGTTAACGAATACTTTTGAAAATTTTACCTGGAGTTCACATTTGTTGAAATATCTCACATTTGTTGAAATATAAGTTTAACTGCAATTTCTGATAGGAATTGTTAGGATTTTGTGTATGTGTATTTATGACATATGAAATAGGGTATATATATATATATATATATATATATATATATATATATATATATATATTTTATTCATGTACTCTATATATAGAGTAAAAATATAACAAAATATCAAATATTAATAATATCTCAGTCATAACAACAGCTTAAATCAAAACAATGACTTAATATCTTCTCATCTTTTTCTCTTAAAAGATAATAAAATCTCTTAATACCTAATTAAAATAAAAGATAATAAAGTAATATTCTTAATAATTGCACACTTTTATAGTCATGTAAATTTTCAATCCTACTTTGTATAGTATATCACTTCAGCTTTTTTTTTTTTTTTTTTTACGCTAACACTTATTTCAAATAGTGCTGTCGATCACTTCAAAAAGCAATTTGCATATCTTGAGGAGCATTATGGAAAAGATGGAACTGTTACTCCACCTGAGAGGCAACATGCATCATTACCCAGGTATCCTCATTTTTGTTAATGGTTCTGGAAACATGGCTTTTGTCTTTAGCTGTTGCTCTTTTATCTTGTCAGCATACCCATTTATCTTCTCTTGAACTGTACACCAACTTTGCTGATTTAAGACTGTAAATGCAGGCCATGTGTCTTGTATTCAGATAACACAAGGCAAAATATGGCAGTGGTTGCAGATGATCTCTCCAAGTGTAGCATCAAAGAAGTTGAGAAGCCAGCCATAGACAAGACTGGTGGTATCCCAATGACCAGACTTCCTTTACAAGCTCCTCAAAATATTCAAGGTATGGTGAACTGATTGTAGTATGTATTTTGCTTCTTCATTTCCCTCTTTCTTTCCTGATCTCATATGTGCAAGGCAGACATTATCTTCAAAGAGTGTGTGCACATTATTGAGGCTTGTTAGATCGTGATTCATTGTTCTTTGAACCAATAATAAGTATGTTTCTGGTTGTATGAACTTGTTCTTTCTTCTGTCACATGATAGGGAATCATGTGTGAATAACTATGTTGGAATTCAAGTATGAAGTGAAATTTTATATTGAGTAAAAATGGTAAAGTTGAGTAACATATAAGTGCAAAAAAATCTATAAACCTAATAATGTCTTGAGGTTTTTTATTGAAGGTAGAGTCATATAATCTTATGTGGTTATCTTAGGTCCCATTTGTGAATACCTGCCTAATGTTGTTTCTCTCGAAAAAAGTCCATCAGGCCAAAAGCAACATGACTTGGATTACTTGAAAGCTGTGGATTTCTTGAGATTCTTTGGATGATTTATTTTTTGGCATAATCCGTGTTATGTACATGTGACCACATCTATATGCACATGAACTGAATTGAATTTGACTCTTCTAATATGAGCAAAAATAAAGTAGTAGTATTAATAGTTTATGAGATTTGATTTTTTCATCGACGATTGAAATTACTCTACTCTCAAAATTTAGTTACCTACTTTAGAGGAGCTGGGTCCAGGGAATTGAATGTAGAATGGGTTATAAAAGATGGTGTTGTAACAAGATCTTGGATATCATAGATAATGTCATGTTGCTCTTCAGTTCTTGCCCTTTATACACTTGTATACGTTAATCTTTGAGTGTGAAATTTATTAATATATGCTTCTATTCAAGCTTTCTTCTTTCTGATTTGGTTCACATGTGCTTCAGGCATAGCTGCACGGCCCGGAAAAGTTATAGGTTCAGTATCGCGATACAACAACTATGGAGTAGCAGTGACTGCAGAGACTGACCAGCGGAGGACGGGTAGAAATCCATCTGTTTCAACCAAGTATGCTGCTCAAAGCTGTTCATATACAAGAAGGAACCCAAACTGTAAAAATGAGAGGGCAGCAGAGGGAATTGAAGGTGCCAATGTACTTCACACAAAGCCTCAATATGTGGCACGCAAAGTTGCTGCTGCTCAAGGGGGACCTGGTGGTAGTTGGTATTGATTTTGAAATGTGGGATTTGTGCCCTGCAACTGCTTTGTGCCATCATATTTGGGTTTCTTGTTACACAAAGAACCAGGTCAATCATCTGATCATTGAACAAATATATCAGTGGCCATAGCATCAACAATATGAAACGGTGAGAGAGCTAAAGGGGTTATAATCTAAAGAAGTCTCTAGCTGATGTTTTATTAGAGCTTGCATTTGCTTCACCAATTTGAAGTTTGGAAGGTTCAACATGGTGCAATTATGATTTTCTTGCTGTCTACTTCGTAGTAACAGAGAAAGAATGATCTGAAAAGCATGAAATGAAGGCATTGCAGCTGCTGCTACATATTTGTGTTGTTGTCTTGCAGAATATAAGTCATTAGTATTGTCTGGGCTTTATATTTTGGGCACCATCCATAACAATGGTAGTGTAGTTTTATAACCTATTGGCTTGTACTCAAACAATCCGTTCTTTATCTGTAATTTCTCTCTCTGAAGGTTATTTAGAAACTGGATTTGGTTCAAACTCAGCAAATACAAATTATATTAAGGTCGAAGGGCACTATCCTAAGAAATTAGAAAGCTTTTGCTGAAAATTTTGTTGTCATGCCTTGAAAATTGTGGGAGTGTAACAACTGTTTTTTTAATAAAAAATTTATATGTCTTAAGGATAGTCGATAAGATTTGACAATTTTTTTTTTTTTTAGATTTTGCTCTCATAAATCAGCTTCTTTTTCTAATTTTTTATTTAGATGATTTTGGTGGTGTCCTGGTTTTTAAGAAAAATTAAAGTTTTATCTGAAATGTGTAATCAAAGTTTGCATTAAATGACAAAAAATAATTGTGAAGATAAATGTTGAATTTAAGCAAATCTATTAGAAATCCTAACAATTTATGAAAACACTACTCTACCCTTTCCCAAATTAAACAGTGCAATTATAATTATCAAAGGGCTTGGGCATGGTTATATGACATTTGGACTAGCTCTTCACATTGGGCTACTCATGTGCTCAATTTCATAATCATAATCCTTTGGTTCATCTTCTTCGATCATAACATTCCTTTCCCCCTTCAACAAATAAAACACCTTGTCCTCAAGGTGGAGTGATGGATAGACCTCAACCCCAAGTCTTATGTTGGGGTATAAACCTTGACATTGAACTAATGCTTCTGTCCCACTAAAAAAGCTGCAATTTGGGTTTGTTACGGAAAGTTATCAATGATAATTCCAAATTTGGTGACTGAGCTTCATTATGAAATGGTTTCAACTTTTAATCATGGAAGACAAGGTGAATTAGATTTTTGGAGGTAATTCCAATTGAGAAGTCACTTCCCCAATTTGAATGTGAAAATGCCCATAAAACCATTAGACTAACTTCAAAATTTGATTGTTCCTTTTAGTCATTTGTTAATATGATCTCAATTTGACTAGGACTTAATAGCTTATCTTGAATGGATGAGGTATCTATTTCTTATCATCTTAATACTTCCTGACAAATTGTTTCTTGAGCAACTTAGAGCATAACTTATTAAGTAAGTCTTGTAACATATTAAGGCAGCGAAAAAAGTGGTTGATCGTAACGATCTCATAAGGAGTAAGCCTAGTAAAAAAATTATTTGCTAAGTTATAATGTCATTCCGCTCAGGACATGTATTTTTCTCACAACTTTGGTTCAACGTGGATGAAAGTCCTAAATATTGCTTCAACATATTTTTGATTGTCTTTGTTTGCCCATCACTCTAAGGATGAGCTGCCTTTCAGAACTTGTCAACAAGAACAGAAATAACAAAATATGTTTAGAAAGAAATTAGTGATTTTCACTTTCTTTCATAAAATAAAATATTATAAATTTTCTCAAATTTTGTAAAATAAAGTACAAACTTAAGTCGAATCTCTCAATGAACACATTAATTGTATTCAACTTTTAATATTCTTGTTGTACAAGTTCATTTGGGGATTAGAAATTTAAACTAAAATTGAAATTGAAATAGAAAGTCAAGACTGAAATCAAGAATAGGAAAACAAATCAATCCACAAATTTAAGAACCAAACAATCATTTTATCATAATTCTCTAAATATTTAAACTAAAGCTTGAACAATTAATCGGTTCAATTAACCAACTATCCAATTATATAAATTAAATCAAAATATCAAATCTAATATGTATTTAATCATCAAATAAAGTTTCAATTGATTTCTAATTTGATTATAAAAATAAAAAAACATAAATTGCAATCACAAACAAGTAAAGTCAATATTAGAAAAAGAAGAACAAACTCGTAGTGATAAATGATTGGTACAAAACTCGATTCAACTTGTTTTATCTTGATTCCATAAATCGATTATCAAGATTTAGTTCTTCCTAAACAAAGAATATCAAATGAATTTTAGAGAAGAAAAAAAAAGGAGAAGAGGAAAAGTAAAAATCAGCATATGGAGAAAAGAGAGAAAAAAAGATGAAAAGACAATTCCTCAAATTAAAAATTTTGTAAAATCATTTTTATATATGAATTTAGAGGCTATTAAAATACTTTGAAATTCGATGCAAACATAAGTCTAAATGTGAACTCTAATTAGGTTCATAAACTCAATTACAAAAATTTAAGTTAATAAAAAAAAATTCCATGTGATTTACTTTACCAAATTTCAACAAATATGTCATAACTTCTAAAAATAATATAAAATAGAAGAGAACTCCAAATACAACAAAACATATATCCATTTCAAATCTCTTAAAATTTAGAATCTAATACAATTAAACTTTGACAAAAATAATATTTACAAAAATTATGGCCAGAACAATGAACAAAGGTCAAATAAGATGAAAATACAAATAAAAGAAAATATGTATATTGAATGCAATTTATTACTATTAAAAGAAAATGAATTAAAATCTAAAAATGAATCATATGTGAAGTAAATTCACTATACAATATCATATGATAAAGTAAAGTAATATATCCTCCTAAATTGTATTAGGAATAGAATTCATTGTAATAAATCATATGATAGTTATGTAGGTAACTTGACTTGTTTAAACACAATGCAAATTTTAACAAATTTAGCTACATCTTTCTTCGTTCGCTTCCAAATAAAGTTATTACTCAATTTTTATGTATTTCAGCATGACCAATCATTGACATAGCATGAAACTCCTTCAAAAGGATTTTCTTATAATGATAAAGAAGAATTCATTTGAAAATTTTAAATATTGGATGTTCATCTATACAAGAACTATAACACGCAATCTAAATTGTAAGCCTCTTAAAGTTTTGTCACCAAATCACACTACAATATTATCAACACTATCATTTATGATGAGTCTCCTTTATCTTGCTTAAGACATCAACTACTCAATTAGTTTCTCTCAATTTATAAACAATTTCATAAGTGTATATGGTCCCACCAGTCACCCCTCAAAAAAAAAAAAAAATTCTTTCAAGCTTTTATTAAAAAAATATATTATGGTCCCCATAAAAATTTATTTTTTTGGATTGGTCTCCCTAAAACTAATTTTGTATTCCATCTCTATATATGAGTAACTTTCATAAGTCTTATTGTTTTGTTTAATTCATAAATACTTCATTGGTTTGTATGAACTACAAACTTTTTGCCCAAAAGATAAGCGTGTCATCTTTTAAGTGCGTCATTTTTTAACTATAATTATGATTGCATTTAACTACATATCATTTTTTAAAATATTCAAGAATTTTTTTATCCAAAAATATTTTCTTTTATTTATTTAAATAAAATTATTCTTTAAAATATATTTTTAAATTTTTATCATAAAATATAATTTAAATAAAATTAAATCATAATAAAATATTGATATAAATAAAATTAGTCTTATAAAATATTAATTCAAATAAGTTGTAGTACAAAGTATAATTTTTCAATAGATAAACAAAATAGAAATATATAAATTGTAATTATAGATAATTTTTCAATAGTTAATATTTTTCTTACCCACAACTTGATTTTGATAATTTTACCCACAACTTGATTTTGATAATTTTATTTTAAAAAATATTAAATAAAAGTTATTAGTGGGTAGCGAGTGTCCATAAGTTGGATATTAAAATGTTTGTACCCGCTCCATTGACAAGTAGATAATTAAAATATTTATATTTTTTATTCACATGTATCTATTTAACATATCCATTTAGTGTCCATGACAAAATTTATCTCATGACATTTTTTGTCATCCTATACCACCTAATTCCTTGTTCGGATGCATCAATTTTGATCATGAAATCTTCTAAAAATTTGGATAGCACCAACTAGGAATATTAGTCATAACATTTTTTAATTGATCAAATTATTCTTGTATTTATTCGTTTCAATCAAATTAATCATTCTTGATTAAATTAGTGAAGAGAGCATCTATAAAAACATAACATTGAATAATTTTTTAATAAAAATTAGACAATCCTTAAAATTTGTGCAATTACTTAATAATGGCAAGTGTTGGCCAAATAATCATTGCATAATTTTTTTTCAGATTTGGACTAATGTCATCCCATGATATTATATGCCCCAAGTACCTTATCAATTCCTACACAAACAAACATTTGTTTTTTTTAAAGAAAAAATTATTTTGTCATAAGGCGTTAAATGATGGAGGTGTGTTACACAAGCCAAAGGCAATAACTAAGAATTTATAATGATCATTATGTATGCAAAAGACAATTTTTGAAACATCATTTGTGTTCATTTTAATTTAGTTGTATTTGAAACACAAATCAAGCTTAGAAAATCGTTGTGTCCTTTGAAGTTCATTAAGTTATTTATTCTTTAATGGATAGCATAGGAATCAATCTTTCACTATAATCGTGTTGAGTGTCTTGTAATCGGCACAAAACCTCTGATATTCATCTTTCTTCCACATTAGCAAGATTGGGATGAGAGAACATTGTTATATCGTTGAATAATTTCTTCAACCATCATATCTTTGATTTGACACTCAATCCTGTGTTTTGAAAAATATAGGTATCTATAGGGCTTGGCATTCACAATTATGTGACCCTTCTAAAAGAGGAATGTGATGATCAATTGTTGGAATATAAGGAAAATAGTATGGTTCCACAAATACTTGAGGATACTTGTTAACAATTCCTCAATTTCTAATACTAGAGATGGTTTAAAGAAACTCCTCAATTAGAGAAAGCAATTGCAAGTGAAAAATTTTGCTATGTCAAAAGTAGAAATCATTCTCTTGGTTTGGTGTATAGTGACTTCTTTAGATGTTCTATGATGTTAACCCTTAAGTTCAATTGATTTCCCTTCTCTAATAAACTCCATTGTTAATTTTTGAGTCAATTAACACTAGTGCTGACGTAGTTGTCCATTATACACCTTATATGAGCTTTGAACCACTTAAAGGCAACACAAACAAAAAAACATATGAGAGCCCAATTATAACGATACCATTTTGCACATGGATAAACAGGAAAACTCCACTCCATTGGCTACCAAGACATGAAACACTTGAGCAAGAACAACTTGAAGGCCTAAGAATCTAGCTATGCGAGCTTGGATGAAATTGTGGGTGCTCCCACTCTCCACTAGAATTGCAACTAGATATGCATTAACATGACATAAAACTTTGAGAATATCAGGAATGGAGTGATCTAACAATGCATCTGTGTCAAGATTGCATTAGGAAGTTCGTTATGAGTAAGGTCATTTATATGGAGGAAATAAGTCAAGTTAATCTCATCAATTCGAGATCGTTTGGTTTCAATATTAATAACATGAACTCACGATTGTGTTTGTGACTAAGGTGATATCACTCATATAATAGTAGCACAGATTTTTTCATGATGACTTTAGAGCTCAACAAGAGATAATCGTTTGATGAAAAAAGAATTAGAGTTTGATTTGGATTTTAGGGAAGAAGGGTTCAAAAGGTATGGGCCTAAGTTTGTAATTTGGGCGATGTAAAGGAGCGACTTGGTGATCGTTATAGATCTCATGATGGAGGAAGTAGGACAATTAGAACGGCTTGTTGTCGAAGCTTTTGCAAACTTTTTCTCTTGTAAATTTTCCAAACTTACGGCCTGAGACAATGAGATGGGTCGAAATCTTTGTACCTCTCTTCGAATTTTAAGGTTGAGAAATAAAATGAAACAATTGGGGAGAGGAAGAGGATAACTCACAATACAATTTGCTAATGATTCAAATTGATTTTGGTGCTCACAAACGGTTGAGGTTTGACAAAGTTTGAACAATACTTCCTTTAGATCCTCGTAATGGGACAATGTAAAATGAACCTTTAATGCTTGCAAAAAATTCTACGAAGTTAAAATTAGTTTGTTGTCATATATCAATTGGAATTAAGTGAGGACTTTTCCTTCTATGGAGAAAGAAGATAATTGAAGCTTTTGATCTTTAGGGTTTAAGATAGTTAAAGAATTGTTTGATTTTGAAGATTGAAGGAAATGGTGTTGTTTGCATGTTTAGTTTGATTAAGGTGTAAGGTTGAAGAATATAATTGTTTGTTATACAATTTCTAAAACAATTACAACCCACTAATTATTGTCCCTACAAATATTTATCTCTTCATAAAAAACTCTTTAGTTTTCTATCAGTTGAAACATATAATCCATTTTATATTTTTTTTATGAAAACATGGTCACTATTGGTATTATTCTCTCAATAAAATCACTAAATTATGTCTATTTTATAGTTTAGACTTCCTCTGAAAAGTAACAAAATATAAAGAATGGACTATTTTCTTAAAATTTATTTCCTATCTAATACTCACATACAAATAATAAAAGAGTGTCTACTAATAAAAAAAACATGTCACAAAACAATAAGTAAATTTACGAGAAATCGTAATATGCTAAGAAAATATTATTCCTTCCGTTTCAAAATATATGACTTTAAGATTAGGTTATATAAACCAATATAAATATTAATTTAGATTAATTTTTAATAAATTTAATAATTTTTTATTTATATCTTTATCATCATAACTTTTTCTAATTAAAATAATCTTAAATAACTTTAAAAATAACTTTAATTTATCCTTTCTTAGTTAAAATTTCATATAGCGATTTCATTTTACCTCTTAACATAGTAATCATAATCTAGACTTTTTGGACTTCCTTTTCACCGTTAGGCTCACGTGCAAAATTTGATAATCATGGGTCATAACACAATATATAAAAACCAATCTTTATCTTTTCTTTTTAGTTTTTAACTAGAACTGGAAGGGTTTAATAATTAATTTATATCCTTAATTTTATTTGAATAAAATATTATAAATTATTTCAAATTTATTTATATATTTATATATTATTATTTTTAACTGTTATTTTTTGTGGAATATATTTTGAAATAAATTTGAGCATTAATTTATATACTTAACCTTTTTATAATATTTTGGTTTTAATTCTAATAATTAAATTGTATTTTTATTAGCCTGATAATTATGTCTGTTTATATTTTTAATAAAATATTGGTGAAAATAATGTAATATTTAATTGTTATATATACATGAAGAAGATATAATTATTGATGCTGTCATGATAGTTGACAATTGTCACTTGTAAAAAAGAATTGTTGTTATAAAATGTACAAAATATTCAAGATTTAAATAAAATTATTGGTAAAATCGATTACTGGTTTCAACAACAAAAAAAAATAATATTATTATTATTTAAGATTTTAATAGAATTAAATAATAAATATTAAAATATTTTTAGTTGAAAATTAGTCATTCATAAGAAAAAAACTAATTTTAACTAAAATTTATAAAAATAAAAATCAATTATTGCTAAAAATAAAAAACATTAGATATAAAATTTTTAAAAAATTAAGTTACATATTTTGTTTTTCTTTCCACTTCATTTGGATATTTAATTAAAACTAAATATATATGACAATGTGAAAGGAGGTTACTGTCATTTGGGTGTTAAGTTTGTTTATACGTAAACCTATTTCATTTTTTTATTATTATAATTAGGTTCGTTCATGCTTTTTAAGAAAATATTAATAAAAAAATTTAATATTTGATAGTTATATTTAATAATTAATATTTTTTACTAGTTTTTTTCTTCTAATTATGATATATTAATTATTTATAGTCAAAGGCAATAATTACATCAGCAAGGATTCTGAATGTATACAACTTGTATTTCTTCCTAATTATTTTATACTCAAAATGATATTATCAAAATTTCAAATTTGAACAACTTGGTTGAAGAAAAGTTCAGCTGTACCCAGCAAATGTTATATTAGCACATAAAATCAACCACGGACTTAATTATCTGAATTAAATATTTTCATCTCTCTAGGTTTTTAACTTATTTTATCAATAGTATGATTAACTACGTATTTTTTATAAAAATTTATACGAAACATGTTTCTCACATATTTTGTTATAAATTTTTTAAAGTCTAACTATTATTTTTCAAAAAAATCCCACATAATATAAAAAATTCTACTAGTGTTATTTTTTTATTATTTTTAGTTTTGAATCACATGAGTTGAAAATATATATATCAATCCGTATACTCCAAGGTTTATGCTTGAAAGGGTCTTGGGGACCCTCAATATGTAACTTGCAATCCACAAACAAGAAATTTGGCAATGCAATGAATTAACAAAATGTTAGATTAGGTTTCTTCTAAGGAAGAAACTCGCATGGACAGAATCAAATGGGAATTAATTAAAGGATAATCTATGAAGGAAGATGTGTTAATACATGTCAAATAATTAATGATGTGCCACTTAATCATAATCATAGGATAACCACAACCTTGTGTACTACTATGTCTATAAGCTTTCATGTTTTATCCAGTGATAAGATTATTAGGTGGCAAACTACAAATCATTTTTTCATTGTTTCGTGCCAACTATTTTTCAGTGAGATATATTATTTCATATATTTTAATGAGGAAAAAGTAACGAAAAAGTAATAAGAGAGAGTTATGATTAGTAAATTTTAAATAAATTTCAATGTAAGTATGTATATTCACATAAAATACAAGTAGGCATAGTAATTATGTCAGTAATCGGCGAAAAATATATTTATTGTTAACTTAGTTGAAATTGTTATATTTTATGAAAATATTTTATGAAAATTACAAAAAATAATTTTTTTTATAAATTTAAATAAATTTTTATAAGAAAATTTGTTAAAAATAACTAATATTTTAGTAGTGTAAATATTAAACTTAGAATAGAGATGTTAAAAATAATTTATAACTTAAAAATTCAAATTCAAATCTTATAAAAATATTTACTGAGAAGTAAACTAATGTAACATAGGAAAAGTCTTAAATTATAAAAAAAATCTGAATTTTAATAATAATAATGATGATATTTTAATAATAACAGTCTCCATAGAATGGTTCAATACTTTTTAAATTGTAGAAAATTAAAATATAAAAGAATTAAAAAAATATAAGTTTTTACGAGACTTTGCTTAAAACAAAACTTAAAATATAATATAAATGGTTTAAGAATAGTGACATAATAAAATAATTTAAAATAATTTATTAGAAGAGCCTGTGTTTGCATTGTTATCATTCCTCAATGTTCTAATTTCAGTACTCACCAACCATTAGAAATTCCAATTTCACTCTCCCCGTGTGTAGCCGGAACTTGCAAACAGATTAGCTTCATATAATTTCTAATCATAAAATTCTGATAAGAAACCTTCAGGAAACCAAAGAAAGCAACGTTAACCCTTTGGGCAAGTTAGTCGGTGAAGGAACTTCGTCGAAAATTAGCGGAGAGAGAAGCTTGAAGTTACTCTTTCCTCATCAATATCATGCCATACCACACCATTAGCGTGCCCCTAAAGCTTGCCAATCTCATTCTCATATAAAACTCTCCTCAAATTCTACACTATATATCACCATAACACAATCACCTTTTTCAACATTTAACATATATTAAATATCAGCAAGTTGCATTGCTGCTAGCCAATTCAAGACTTGTTGCAATGAATGGAGAGGGAAGCATTCATGTACAAGTTGATGAACTCCAACGGGTGAGGCTCAACGAAAGCATCAGCATAGGCACCACCATGTTTGAGCCTCGTGGCCTCGGCAGCATAGATAAGTTGGACAGTAACAGCACCGCCAATTCTGTCTCTCCAACAACCTCCGCACCGGAAAAGAAGCTCACCCTTTTTGCCCTCCAGCTTGCAGTGCTTGAAAAAGCCGCAACCGGGTTGGGAACACTCGGTTTCATCTGGGCCACCGTTGTCCTTCTCGGTGGTTTCGCCATCACCTTAGAGAAAACCGACTTCTGGTTCATCACCATCATACTTGTGGTTGAAGGGACCAGGATTTTCAGCAGGAGCCATGAACTTGAATGGCAGCACCAAGCCACATGGTCTATCACTGAGGTAGGATATATTTATGAAAAGATATCACTGAAGATATGCTTGGATATGGCTACGTAAATCATATCAATAACTCTATAGCATCTTGCAAAGACTTTGCTAGTACATCTTATTCAATCCAATTTCAATTTGTAAAGGTTTAAACGTAGTGTTTCACACCCATGTTAAAATCTTGTTTTTTTGTTTTGTTTTTATATTTCCTTTCTATTGGAAGATTATCACTATTAATGTTTTTCTCTGATATTTTTCATTTGATTCAGGACCATCACCACCAATATGTTATTGCAACTGATTCCACGCCAACAAGGACACCAACTAGGATGTGGGTTAGCTCAGATGTTCCACTCCTACCATATGCTAAATGGTTTTTCCTTTCAAGGCATGTTAGTAGGCTTCTCTATTGGCTTCAGCTTCTTTCTGCAACAGCTTGTGTGGTTCTTTCGTTAATCAAGCTCGTCATGCATAACTATGGAGAGGTGGCAAAGGGAGACACTGACAAGAGGAACCGCAAATCGTCACTTTCCATCTTCTATGCGTTGGCTCTTGCAGAAGCTTTGTTGTTCCTGATGGAAAAGGCCTATTGGGAGTGGCAAGTTCGCTATTGCAAACTGTTGGAAGCGGTTAACACGGAATGTGAGTTGGGGCCATCGGGAATGGTGTCAACTAGAAGGTTCTTCTATGATGCCTATTCAAGATGTGTCAATGGAAGCATATTTGATGGCTTGAAAATGGATATGGTAAGTTTTTCAATGGACTTGTTGGTTTCTAACTCCCCTGATGAGCAGCTCATTGGAGCGAGAATTCTTAGGCAGTTTTCAATCAGTGAAAGATTTTCTGATGATACCCTTCAAAAGATTGGAATTGACATATCAGTGGCGGAGAGACTAGTTGAGATGTTGAATTGGACTGACCCCAAGGAGGAAGAGATTAGGTTCTCAGCTGCTGAGATTTTGTCAAAACTAGCTGGCAAGAAGCAGAATTCTCTCCGAATAGCTGGAATACCAGGAGCTATGGAATCAATATCATCTCTTCTAAAAACTAATAGGAGTGTGATTCCTGCAGCTGATGAGATAGGGGAAAAGAAACTTATATTTGATCACCAAAATTATGGGTTCTATACGTTTAACCAATTGGGACTTCTGATACTGAAAAAACTTGCACGTGACCTTGACAACTGTGGAAAGATTGGGAACACAAGGGGCCTTCTTCCGAAGATAATAGACTTCACACATGCTGAAGAGTGGTTGCTGAAGAGTGAAAATGTTATTTCATCCCAAGTTCTAACCGTGAAGAGGTCTTTGCAACTGGTAAAGATGCTGGCTAGCACAGTTGGCACTACTGGGAAACATCTTCGAAGAGAAATTTCGGAGCTTGTTTTCACCATCAGCTATATTAGAGACATTTTAAGGCATGGAGAGAAGCATCCTCTTCTACAGAAACTGAGCATAGAAATTTTGACCAGCCTGGCATTGGAAGAGGATGCAACGGAAAGAATTGGAGGCACTGGTGGACTGCTTAAAGAACTGTTCAACATTTTTTTCAAGCACAACATAGCAGAAAATCAGAAACATGTTAAAATTGTTGCGGGCGAGGCCCTTGCAATGCTGGCTTTGGAAAGCAAGAACAATTGCCATCGAATTTTGAAGTTGAAAGTATTAGAAAGGCTCGAAGTAGCGTTGAAAGATCCATTGCTTCGTGTCAATGCAGCTAGAATTTTAAGGAATTTATGCACCTACAGTGGATCAGAATGGTTCAACCAGATAAAGGGTGTAACAACAGCAGCACCCACAGTAAGTGTTAAGCTCTGGCCATTATTATTTCAAGCCACCAGCATGAATGCTTTAGTTTTGTTGAGATAAACTTCTCCATACAAAAATGAATTAAATTTTTCCATAAATTAAAATAAACTTGCAGGACACATTGACTTTTAGATAAGTTAGATGAAAGTACTTTTAAAAGTCCACAAGTGTTCTTATCATTTTTCAATCCCGCAGATACTTAAGGCGATCATGACAGAAGAAAACAAGATACAAGAAGTGATGGTTGGACTAGCAGCAAATGTTTTCAGATACATGACTTCTCATGAATCGAGCATTGTATTTGAAGAATCTGGAATCACCGAGGTTGAACTTGCAAACAAATTAGTCCAGATTCTCAAGAAACATCCGTATCCCCCAACAAAGGTTCCAAGGATAAGGAGGTTCGTAATAGAGTTGGCCATGTGGATGATGAAAGACAAATCAGAAAACACAGACACCTTCAAGGGTCTGGGAATGGAAATGGTGTTGGAGGGTGTCTTGGAGACCACATCAGAGCTTGAAAGCTTTAATGTTTTCTCTGGCACAGTTGGACTAAACCGGCACAATGACACAACTCAGTCACTGGTTGACATGGCATTGAAATTGATGGAAGATAGGTAACTATCATGGACCTTAGTACTATAGCACAAAATCAGCTATCCATGTTGGTCTAGAGGCACTAATGCTGCAAGTGTGTGGACAAACTAAACATTTGTAGATTCTCCAAAGGAAAACCGTGTTTGCTGCGGCTGAAAAGATTAACTCAATTATTTATTCATTACATTTCAAGATTCAATGTTGTACTTGAAATAAATTATGGACATTTTTCCTTCTCATGCGTGCTTCGTGCTTCATTATCTTTTATTAGACCAAACTCAAATTGTAGGACTATTTTTAACTATTTTAAAAAGTGAATATAAATTTAATTTAATTATATATTACAATTTAGTCATATTTTTAAACTTTTGAAATTTCCATAAACTAAGGTTTACTGTTACATAGGTTTCTAATGTCTGGGCGCTACAGGTAATAAGATTACATGAAAACATCTTAGGAGAAAAAATGATATGGCAATAATGGAAAATTTGGCATTATGAACTGTCACATAATTCTTGGCTGTCTGTCCCTCTTCGTACACACATAAAATGTTGAGATGGAATTAATAGAATAAATGTCAATGACATCACGAGTCTGAGTCCCTGTTCACATTTTATTTGAAAATTAATGCTCAAGAAAATCTGTACCCTCTGTCCTACACATTTACTTCAGGATCTTCTTTCCACAGACGCTTCTGCCACCTCTCCGAAAGCAAATATTTGTCCTACTCATAATTTGGAAGTCTTGAATTATTTTCAAATATTTTAATAAGCTTTTATATTTAAAAGTTTCTAATAAAGTTTCTGGATTTACAAGTTACTTTTAATTTGATCTCTGGTTTGGATTTCGACAAGACTCCATAAAGTACAGGGACTAGACAAAAATCCAAAAATAATTAAATTAGCATATTGATTTACAATTATTTGAATTTTTTTAAACCCTAGCAAGACTCAGAATCAATTAAAAATGATTTACAAGTGCAGAGACTTACAAACTTTAAACATAGAAACCTATTTAACAATAATTACAATTTAATTTATGGACCTAAAACTAATTTAAATTGATTGACATCCCGTGATATAGACATTTGAAACTTCATTTTAGGGCTTTATTTCGTCTTCTAAAGTTTAAAAGTCTATCAAAACTAATTACTATATCGAAACTAATTACTATAATGTTGAGAGTCATAAAAAAAATGTCCCTTTAGATACATATTAATGTCATGAAAAAAAAATGTAATACTCTCAAGTTTAATATTATCAAGCACTCAATACTTGTCATAATTTATTAAATTTTGAAAGGATAAATACTTAATATATTAAAAGTAAAACATTTGAATTCTATTAGTCTTGTGTAGGATTAGAGTGTTTCAAGTGTTGGTTGTTTGCTTTAAATAAGAAAAATAGAGTTAAGAGACGCTAAAAAATGGTATTTAGTCTGACAATGTACTACATATTTCTAAAAAGGAATAGTACAAATTCTACACAAAACAAGAATACATGTTGTGAAGTGAACCATGTGTAAGCTTCAGCAAATACTGAGAAAGACCAGAGCATCCAGATTATTTGTTCAAATACTGAGAACAAAGGAGACATTGTTTCCCATTTAAATTCATAAAGACAAAACAAAATATGACAATTCTCACTTACAGTCAAAGAATATTGTTTGGTTTGTTAGTTGAGAATCTAAACATACTAAATTTACACACGAGCAACCTATTTCTTTGGAACGAACTATGATTTTTTTTTCTTGTAGTTACAGAAACAACGTATAAATGATATTCTCTCATCTGATCATTACGGTTGTGACTATTTGTTTTTGAAAAAATTGAAATCCCAACGACGCATTAAGCCGTCCATGACATGGCCTGCAGGATTCCTGACAACAGTTACCGTGGCTTTAGTATTGTGTGATATGTCAGTATCTGATGAACTTTTCAAAATAGCAGAACCGCTTGAGCTGCTGGACTCGGTTAATGATAACGAGTCTGTTGTTCCCGGTTGTGGTGGTGGCTGCAGCTGCAACTGTGGTGATTCCGCTGAAAGACTTCGTACAGCACTCGACTTGGAAACCACATTTTGAGAATGGTTCACTGAAATGGAATTTGCCTCGCCTTTCAATGTCTCACATTCTTCTAATGCAGATGAAGTGGTTTTGCATTTTGAATCTGTGCTGTGTTTGAGTGAGGAAGATTCTGTCTCCGTAGGTCCTGGATTCTCTTGTGAGGAAGCATATTTATCTGATGGCTCTACAACTGCTACAGATACCGTACTAACGCTACTTGTTGGTTGTTCTGCGTTTGAATTCCGTGCTTCCATGTCCTTCAGTGACTCCATCACTGCTTCCATGAACATCTGAATAGCATGCACAAATCAAATGTAAATAAGATGCAAAATGTTGATCAGGTGTTAGGTTATGTAGAAGTCATCAAGTTGACTCACTCTTTCTTCCTCCTCTGAAGTAGATGGAAAACCTGCAAGGTCATCTAGCTGATATTCAACGTACTGATCATCTTCCAATGTGGCTGGAACATGGGGTCCAAAAGGATCACCATTTGACAGTTCAAAGCTAATCATTGATGATGGCGTAGGAGAATGATCGCCACATTTCTCCTGCTTCAGAAAAAAATGTGATATTTTAGCTCATTTGTGTTTAGTCCCCTCTTCCCTCACTGTTATACTTCTTTCTTGCAGGTTTTTATTTCTTCACTCCGAAAGGTAGATATGTGAATAAATTACATTCTTGAAGCTCAGGTAATGGCTATGCCTAAGCAAGGCATATATACCTAAGTAGTGGGCATTCACTGCGTAAATGAAAACTGTAGCATGTTTGTTGCATAGGTCAGAAATAAGATGGAACCTGACATTTTTCTATTTGTTCAACCTTTGGGGTGTATCTTCAAAAACGTAACAGAAGCGGGATAAAGGTTGAAAAGGTAGTAATATTAATTCCACCAAGAGGATGAAACAGGAAGAATAAAATAGATCTGGACGAACCTTTCCATTCTTTCTGTATGTCTAAAAACTACGGTATTGGAACAAGCATATAGTTTACAGATTAAAATTACAATGCATATGAAGAATGAGGGAAAATATTTCAATACAAAGAAAGGGTTAAAAGTGAATCGGATATACCTCATGTTCACGATTTTCATCTTTCGAAGAAATATCAGATGGAACCTAAGAAAAGTCATACAGTATATTACTACAAAAAACAAAAATTAAATATCATGCCAATTAAAAATTTTAAACAAAATTGAAATCATCATATAGCTCACATCTTTGATGGCCATGCGAAAGCCATTTGACATGTATTAATACATTGGATTTTAGCAAACCACACTGAACACTCTCCTCTAATGTTAGCAAAATGCAATCATCTAAGTTTAATATTCGACTTGAGTACTTTTGTGCAAAAATATTTGTTCGATAGGATAGGATCCTAACAAATGCAAGGGGTAAAATGCAAAATATTTGCTTCAATACAAAAGTACTTGAGTACTTTTGCGCAAATTGCAGTCATAACACGACTTGAGTTTAATATTCGATTTGAGTACTTTTGTTGTGCACAGATATTCATTTTCAATTTGGTCTGTGCACTTCACTGCGCTATTACTCCAACAAGTGGTAAACCAAAATTGAAAACAACTATATGGACAATACAAACACTAAATGAAAAACCTGTTTCATATAAGAAACTCTGTCTATGGTTTCATAGCTAGTCCCAAGCCTGGGTAAAGGGTCTATGGCTGCATAGCCGTCCCAAGCTTAGGTGGAGGAGGAGGAGGGTTGTGTTAGGCTCTCAACAGCTAACGTAAAACTCGTTTGTATACTAAACATGGATCACTCAACATTTTAAATATAAGAACCAGATAAAAAAGAATGTATGTATAGGAACCAATATTATGTCTTAACCTTTTTCAAAATACAGGATTACATTCCTCAACCAAACCTATGGGCATGTTATACTAACCATAAATTAACAGCTGATAAATACAAACCTCCATTCTACTCATTGGTCTTCTTGAACGGACCTGTTCAATGGCATTTATCGTACTGCTTGTTGATGGTTCTGCATGTAACAAAGAAACATGTAAGAGATTTGCAAAAAAGGATACAAATCAATGTAGCAGAAATAATTAGGAGAAACTAGGTACTTGAGTCATGCCTTTGTTTTTAGATGATGATTCGTTGCTGTAGCCTAATTCATGCACAGATCTCCAAACATCCTGAGAAAAAACAGTCAATTTTTAGAAGATATCCAAGATGGACTACTGAAATTTGAACAAAGTGGAACCATTGAGAAGCATTGCTGATTTTACCTTACCAAAGTAATCATTCACAGGATCAAAAAATGACTCCCCAACCTCATCTTCCGGAGGTTGCAAAACATTGTGAAAAAAGATGTTTATGGAATCAAAGTAAAACTGAGGACGTGGAGAATTGTGGTCTCCCTCAAATTTAATTATGTTTTTGTCTCCCTGCAAAGCATGGACAGCAACGATTCAAATAACGGATGAAAACTCTAAGATAAAAAAAGAGAGAGAGAAAATGCAATAGCATAGAGCATAGATTGTAAGTAGAAGATCCGTGACTTGATGCACCCAGTCTAAGCATTCTTATACATCTGGAAGGCATTTTTAAATTTTAAAAGCACCAAGCATGCTTTAAAGGCACATAAAATAAAAGAAAGATCTAGTGTACGTTTGGTGAGATTAACATCGAATAAATAATGGCATTTTAAAATCTTCCATGTAAGCTGGTAAAAAAAACTATAGATACTTACCATGTAAGCCTCAAATATCCGGTCAGAGTGATGGGGCTGTATAAAATCATCCTCAATGGCATGCCCAAGTAGAGCTGGAACAAAACAAGATTTTGCCACCTGCACCTCAAACAAATAATGAATGAATATGATGGATGGAGAATATAAAAATGAGTAAAACCAATATATTTTAAGTTGATTATGATTAGAATTCTACTAATCTTGGATTTAGCAATTAAAAATAAGGACAAGAAGATGCAAGACAGCTCCACTTGTTACCAAATTAAATCCTTGAAATAATATTTCCTAGCCAGTTGGAACTATGTACTATTTGCATCAAACTAGAACTTTGTTTTAGCAAAAAGATTCTCCAGCTATGATCATAGAAACTGATCGATTTAATTTACCAGAAACCTAACCTGAATTTTTTCAGGAAATATATATTCATGAATTACAGACTAATTATGTATAATCTTGGAGATTAATATGACTGACTGGTTAATAAGTGTATGTTATTGCCAGAAAAAGGACATATGCATTTATATAATTTTTCTAAAGATTCAAGCTAAAAGAAATATACCATTTGCTTACTAAGTTTGCTTAAAATTGGAAATTTTAACTTGTACAGAAAAATGATGAGAAAGAAACAAAGAGGTGTTAGCTCATAACTTTTTTTTCTGTCAAACTAACTAATGAATCATTTTAAACAATCAGGCAAGTGATACTGATTCATTTCAATAAAAAATTCCTACCACAAAATAGAAGTTAAATAAACACAGGATAAACAACCTTAATGGTATTGAGGTCCATTATGTCAAATTTTGCCTTCTTTTGAATGGCTCTTCGCATGTACTGGATTGCAAACTTCACCTGTAACGAGAAAAATGAAACAAAATCCAGCTAAGAGTGAGTGATGGCACTGAGAATTTATTCTCATAATAAGAAAAAAAAAAAACAACGCATCACTTGGCTCACGAAGTTATTTAATGAGAATTTGAGATCTTTAGATGCTAATGAGTGGAGCAAGAGCACTTTGGTTCTTATACTTAAGAACAGGGGTGTAAACTATGGAGATATAAAATTTGTAACTCACGCCATGAAATTGTTCAAAAAGGTGATTAAGCATCAATTAAGAGAAGAGATGACTACTGCAGATGATCAATTTCATTGTCAGGAAAGCCATAAGTTATTTACATTTTAAAGAGGTTGATGAAAAGGTACCAAAGCAAACATAGAGACTTGCATATGGCTTTATTGGCTTGTAAGCAAATGATTGAGTGCCAAGAGAAGTGCTGTGGAAAACTTTGGAAAAAGAAAAGTGTTTTTGTTGCATGTATTTGGACTATAAACAACATGTATCATGAGATAACTACTGGTGTGAGAACTCTATGAAGCAAAACTAAGGACTTCCCTCTAAGGATAGGGTTAAAACATGGCTCAACCTTAAGTTCTAATTTGTTTAGCTTTGGATGTGCTTATCAAAAACATAACAAACCATAAGTCCCTCATCGTATACTTTTTGAGGATGATACAGTTTAATTTGAGGAATCAATGGGATTACTTAACCTTAAACTTGAGCACTGCAGACAAACTTGCTTAAGTAGGAATAAGGTAGAATATATGCATAGAAATTTAGTAAGGAATATTCTTGGAAGTAAAAATTGGAGATGTTATATTATAGGCTTCTAAGTTTAAAAATTTGGGATCAATATTACAAAATATGGGGTAACAAGTTGATGGTTTGAATGAATGGCTGAAAGTAGGTAATGCAGCCTCTCCTTAAAAACCTCAAGGACCCTAGATATTCTTACAAGTTACCAATAGTCTCACCATTGCCATACAATAAATGAATAGCTACCAAATTTTGCACCGGTTTAACACATGTCCATCGACAACAAGTTTTATGTAGCAGAAAAAGAATTTTTCCTGAAAGAGAAGCAAGTACTTGGAGCTTTGGCTGAAGGCAGAAATTTGCTAAATTGTATTTTTTTTCTTTGAAGTGATGCAAAAGATAGCCATGCTAAAAGATATCTGATATCTCAATTGTTATACAGTAACAAGATAATGATACACGCACACACCCAACAGTTCAGTATTTTGAATACAAAATCAACTGTTACAAACAACTTCGCATCCTTTTTAATAATTTAGGGTGTGTGTCAGATTGCTGCAAAAATTAAATTATTTTCAATTATTGATTACATGCGTAATCAATAATAACCAAAATGAATTTTTGTTTGTGTAAGTTTGCTAAAAAGGAGTTTCAAGATTAATTTCTTTTGGAAGCAAAAAAATTATCAGTTTTAATATAAGAAAAATTATCAGTTTTTCAATCCATAATGAATCTTATATGGGCTCATTTAATTACCTTTTGCTCGGTTGAAAACATCTATCTATATAAGATTTGCCATCAAAGTTGAATTCTATTTCAACTGGGGTAATAAAGTAGATATTATAATTATCATGATATGATAAACCCCCAAGTACCAAGGCTGATAGAAGTTGGGGAATGGTAAGTAGAGAATCAGCATTACAGGCGAGGACAGAATGGGGAATGTTCAACTGCATAACAGAATGCCTACATGGCAACGACAAATGAGGGGCCAAGAAGAAATTTGGTTCATGGGAGTGAGATAAATCATGAGAAAGAGTAGGGGAGAGTAAAAGTTAGGCAATAAATTATGTGATGATTTGGGGTCCTTTGAGCAGGGAAGTTGGCAAACCTATAAAGATCTGCATATATTTCTATTTGTAAAGAGGGATTCCCCCATTTGTAAAGAGCTATACACCCTCATTTCTTATAAGTAAAAATCAGTTCCCAACAAGGTAAAAATTCAACAAACAATTTTTGATATTGATAACAGTCCTGAAGAAGAGCTATTAAATCTCAGAGACAGAGAAGTTCAACAGTATTAATATGTCATTTTCCGATCAACCTTCTTTATATCTTGTCACATATCATTGAGGCATACTGGCATAGACTGAAAATAGATCCAATAACCTCCATGTTCAGAGAAATAAAATATTGAGACTATAAATTTCAAATTTTAGATAGATTATTTGTATATAGAAGGAAGGTATTCTCGTATCACCCAAAAAGTAATCTATAATATACTCACAGTGAACTTCGGCAGACGAACTTTATATGTATCTACAAGTTCCATCATCAAATCAACCAAATCAGAAAAGGGACTGTCTAAAACCATCCCTGCAATTGAAGGATCCTCAGCTCCATACATAAGGCTGCAAGTAATAAAATCATAAAATGTTCAGAGAAAAACCATAGTCATTAGCTAAAATGTTATGTTTGAATAGCTATAATCAGGGTACTTAGTGCCCTTAACAAGGAGAACCATTGAAATCAGAGGGGGGAACAAACATATACATGAGTTTATTCCAACGGGGTAGGTGCTTTCTATGAGTCTACACAAATATAGAACAGCTAACCACTTTCCTAGTTCAATCAAACATGTGATACATATTCACAGATCATTCAGTCTGAGGATAAAAACAATCTTATACACAATCCAATATTCCAGAATGATTATGTTCATAAAAAGAAGCGACTAAAGAGGCTGATATGACCAAAAAACTGAAAAACTAGTTACTCACCAGTCAATTGAGAAAACCAGATGAGCAAAAAACAATGAAGAATTGGGCAAACCAGTTCAAAACTGGTTTCAACCAGTTTTATTTTTTATTTTAAAAAATGAGACAAGTAAAAGGTTCATGTATGGATTGCTATTGTTTAGTATTTATTGTAATTTTATATGTTGAATAGTCACATATTTGAACATGATTGAACTAATTAAGCATGAATAATACCTACATGAGTTCAATAACTGATGTGGTTTTTGAAGACATTAGTAATAGAAAATCTCCTCTCACAAGCCATTTCAGCCACTGAAGGTTATCAAATTGAGATCTTAACTACCACCAGAGAGGAATGAAAGATCATAATTTGTGTGGTTGTAACATAGACTGTAAGATCTTACTGGAAATATAAAATACACACGTGCACACACATATATATAAACATAAATGCCAATATAATTAGCTAATACATGTAATAGTACAATAAATTTCAAGGAAGTACTTAGATATTTATTTTATAGTTATTCTTTTAAACATTTCAATTGATTTTATATTCAAAAGTGGGGGAGTAGAAAGAGAACAGACAAAATCAGTCCAGGTATCTTACATTTCAGAAGACCCAGAAGAACCCAATTCGTGGGTTTCAGTAACAAAAAGAAAAACAGGACTAAGAACTTCTTCAGCAGTTCAGCCGGCCCTAGAATTTCAATAGATCAAAAAAAGAGAGAGATGCTACAACGCACCATCACAGACAAGAAAATCTAACAGACCAGAGAACACATGAACACAAATATAAGAAAGAAGTCTGTCTGAGATGAGTAGAGAACAAATGGGAGAAAAATGGGTCTTGTGGCTTCCAGGTCACACAACCCACCCAACAAATTTTACAACACTGCAGCCACCATCTAATGCACCATAATTCAGTCACTGGAGCATCCTATAACCATTGCCATATATAACAAAATCATAAATATGGATGCATTACACCATTTAGTGGAAATTTCTTGATTGCAATTTACAGCAAACAGAGTGAATATGGACAAGGTTTTCACAAACAAACCTTTCCCAAACCTCATTACAAAAGCAAGTTTAAAGCACAAGTAGATGATGAAAATCTACCTAGTTACAGCTCCCATCGAGCGACCCCACAGGCCAATCAAAGAGACATTTCCATCATCCCGCAGATAGTTGACCACAGCCTTCAGATCATCCTTCTGAGAATAGTAAACAACATCAAACAAGCATTTCATAATGAAGAAAGACAACAAAGCAAGTAGTAGAAATGTGTGTACACAGACTCCCACCCAGCAAAGAAAAAACTCAAAGCATTTCTTGTTCTACTCTGATAGAAGATAATTGTCCTGTCCAAGCATATGATAAATTTCACACTTTCCACTGATGACATAGACATATTACTAAAAGAATTACCAAATTTAACTTCGACTAATAATGTTGGATCAAAGTCACAATAACCAAAAACAACAGCTTGCAAGTTCTTTAGATGAGGTTTACTTATGTGTATTGTGGCCAATCTGCATGATTCACATAAGGAAATAATAAAACTTTGAACATGTCAAATATCTCCTTCATTCAATGTCCTTCTCAGATTTAGTCAAAATAATTATGGAGAGATAGAGAAAAATTATAGCACCCTTCGAGAGCGGATAAATGACACATTAATAAGACTATGCATATCAATAATGAAAAGAACAAAATACAATATTTTTTAAAAGGCTAAACAGCTTTTCTTGTCCCAGTATTTTATTTTTTTTTTCAATTTCATCCCACTATTATTTTTTGTGTCAATTTGATCCTATTTATTTTATAAATGTGTCACTGTAGTCCCTTTCATCAACATCGTTAAGTTGTCTATCAAAATTGACATAAAAAATAATAGTGGGACAAAATTGGAAAAAGTAAAACAAATAGTGGGATAAAAAAAACTATTTATCCTTTTTAAAAAGGTTATTGAGAAAGCACTTACTTCATTCCAGCCTAGAGTAACATGCTCCCCTCCAGAAATTCCAGATCCCGAGAAATCCAGAGTAAAAACTGTGATATTTGAGGGAAGTAAAATTATAGCAGCTTCGCTAGCATCAGCCCTACATCCACTGTCATACAAAAATATCACCCAGTCAGCACAACCCTATAAAATTTGAAATCTATAAACTATAAAATGCCATATATACACTATGGTGCACATATATGATTGTGCATATAAGATATGTATCTAATACAGTAAAACATCTATTCTTCACGTTATCCAGGGTTGTTAATTTTACTCAAACTTGGGAAAGGGGAAACAAAATTATAAACCGTGAAATCCTAACGCAAAGCATAAGATTCAGAAAATTCATATATATATGCATACAGTGTTCTTCTCAATTCTCTGGATTTAGGTTTGCAGATGCCCAAAATGAGCAAAAAGAAAAAAAAAAACCTTGAAACCTGACCTAGTTCACAATTCTACTGATTCTACTCATTTATGATTTTGAGCACTCACGAACTCGCATAAACACAGCAGAAGCATAGAACTATGCAATCTACAAGTCAGCATCTGATTTTGACAAACATGAGTGAATAAAGGAGGTGCAAAGGAAAATATATACAATCTGGAAAAGAGTCCAAAACTTTCAGAAGAAAACTTCTATAGTTTCAGTACTGTTTCAAACAACAGCACCTGGCTAACATAAAAAGGTAACATCCGACAATCACCTGTTTCCATGACAATATATTACACAAGGCAGAGGCTTTCCTTCAGGACTGACTATAGGTATGTAATGGCTGCATTGAAGAACATCACCCCGACTGTTTTTTATCTGCAGAAAATCAAATCTTACATGACTGGCTGAGCATGCAGGTTGTCATCAAAAAGAGATAAAGTATAACTTTATAAAAAACTGCTTATAATGGGAAAAAGGTGAAATCAACAAGGACAGAAGTTATAGAACATCACTTACATACACTGTATGTATGAAATACAAGTTCAGTTGAAAATAATTCTTCTGAAATAGAATTTGACTTTCGATTATTTTCTCATACTATTATAGTTTCACTTTTTAAATGGTAACTAATACATGTATGCTTGTTGACATTACAGGTAAGAAAAACTTCTAGTGGCAATTTTTCATAAGAGAAATAAAACTGAGGAGCGAAACAAATTATGAAAACTTTATTTCTTTCAACATAAAATAAGCAGCTTAGAAATTAGAATCATTCTCAAGCATACTATTATTGGCATGTCTTCCTAGGTGTCTGTCAATATCAAAGTCACTCTAAAATTTAAGGACTCTGCACCAATTTTACAGGTTCATAATCTTCATTGAAGTCAATGGTGGCCAACCCAATGAATCTCTCATTCAACATCAATGTTGTCTAATGATGGTGATCACTTAGGAATTCAATAAAAAATTATTAAGAATAAGAGACAATGAAGACAGTGACTGGACATTCAGATTCATAAATCTGCAACTGATAAACTATAAAATAAAATGAAAATCATCATCAAATGTATTCCCACATAGCCAATGCGGAAAACAATTCCGCTAATGCACTGAATTATACTTTTTTTTAAACTTACCTCTACATCCTTACGTTGGTACCATTTCCCTTTCAGCATGAACTCCTGATCCAATAAATCACTTTTGGGGTCATATTCAGCTCTGCATCCAAATAAAAGATATGATCACGATAATTAAAAAGTTGATGTTAAATTTGAAACAAAAATAGTGCAAATAAATCAGTTAGGTATGTACTGATATACATAACATGAGTCCCTATTCATCTTAAGGTCATAATAGCTAAGAGGTGACTTGAACTACAAGTTTGTAGCTGTTCTGTGACAGGCATATATACTGCATACAAGTGTATATAGCAAGCATAATGCTGTCTCAAGGCCTATATTGCAACTGGGCTTCAACTAATACCTTGAGATTTCAAAGATGCACCTTTTCAGTATAACTCCGGAGCATAAATACTACACATATATTCAAAGCATACATCCATTCCTTTTCGATTTCTTCTTTTAGGAAGAATGAATTTGATAGATCTCATTTTAAGAACACAAAAATTCAAAAAGCAATAAGCAATTAAACATTGGCTATAAATAACCAGCCAACAACTAATTATTAGATTTGTACTCAGATATGTTAAAGTTTATATGTCTATCTAAGAGTGTGTATCATATAAATACCACTTGAAGTTACATGATAGGAGCATCCATTCTTCAGAATTCGACTCTAAAAGGGTTTAAATAAGACCCTTTCTATTGCTGGAAGAATAAAAACTCCACCCCTGAATGTGAGGGGACAAGGAACTTCCCCAAGGTAGCTCAAAATTAGATCTCAATTTACAACCAAACAAATGGTTAACCAAACTGACATGATGTGATAGGTCCGAAAAAGCATGCTTTTAAAAAAAAAAAAAAAAGCTAAGGAAGTGGAATTCTGAATCTACTTGCATCTTTAGTTTTTCCCTTTCTAAAAAAAAATTATAAATGAATAGTTGTGGAGATTCACAATAAAACTAAAATTCAATTGCGACAACCAAGCTGAGTTGGGGCTTTGCAAAGACTAAAAATCAAAACTTTAAATTGAATTCCATCGTTTTCCAAGTGAACAACACCAAGCAGAAGCAGAAACCCATCTGAAAATCTTGTAAAAAGAAAAGAAGAATATTTTGATTCGGAAAGGTGTTTGGATGAAAAGGATGCAAGAGTGGGAGGGAGAAAAAAATCGATACCTCGGTGGTCGGATGATGAAGTTGACAAGCTGTTCCATAGATTCAAACGATCAAGACGATGGTATGTTCAGCTCTTTAACCAAATATGCCTTCAATACATATCAATGATTATATTATATGTCTATTTGCAAAGAAAAGAGAAGAAGAAGCAGAATGAAAAATAAAATAAAATAAAAAAGTAGGGAGAGAGAGTGTGTGGGAGAATTGGAAGGGGGTTGATGACAGTTTTATCAGAGAAAGAAGTAAAGAAAAGAAAACAGGGGAGAAGGAGAGAGGCGTTATGGTTTGTGGTGGGACTCTGTGTCTCCAACTTGTGCTTTTCTTAAAAAACTGAAAAAAGTAATCATGCACATAACTGAATTTTTTTTTTCTTTTATATAATAGTCTTGTTTCTCAACTTTACCAAGAACCATTTTAAGTTAAATTCAATCAACACGGAAAATTAGTTAGTATATCAATTTTATATTTTATTAATGACTTTGGTAATCATTTTTTAAAGGTTCTATTAGTTTTTTTATTAATTAGTACTAAAAAATTTCACTTAGCATAACAATTTTTAAAATATATATTTTAATATTAAGATATTTTTGACAAAATAATAATATTACGATTTTTTTTAATTTAGTCAAAAGTTTTGTTTGTTTACAATGCTATGAATTAAATTGTTATTTCTAATATTTTGATTTTTAATTGAAGAGTTATGTATACCACATATTTTCATTATATAAATCATTTTCGTATAACATTAAGATTGAGATGTCCAGATTTGAAGTGGTTAATAACAATTATTTTTAAAAAAATAAATGTTTTATTAAAAATTTATTATTTAAAAATTGGTTTTACATATAATTTTTTTCTTAATTTTAAACAATTTTTCGCATTTTAAATAATTTATATATAAATTTATATAAATATTTTTTTTATTTTTAAATAATTCTTACTAACAATTTCTTTACATATAATATGATTTTAAGATTAAATATAATAAATAAATGATATTTAATAATATTATACAATAAATCACATTAATATGGTTTAAATTAGATACCACACCTCTATTATTGTTTAAAAATAATAACTCTTAAATTTTTTTTAATAGACATTTATTTTATTTTATTTTTTAATAAATGACATTTATATTTATTATATTTGCAATCATCTATTTCTCTTTTTTTATTAAATCATATTCATTAAAATGTAAATAAAAAAGTACAAATTAAAAAATATAAAGTGTTAAAATATTTAAATTAATTTTATAAAAAATATTTTTTATCTTTATTAAAAATTTTAAAAAAGTATCAAAATACTATATAACCACATATAATAAGAACTCATGTTGAATATGTTGAAATTTGTCGAGCAAAAAATTCATATATATATATATATATATATATATATAATAGAAAAGACAAAATATACATACAATATTTAAATATCTGTTATGATATGATATGTTTGAATTGAAATTAAAATTTATTTTGAAAAACAACTTCAATAATCGATGTTAATTTTTATTGTATAGAATATTGAAATGAAATTATAATTTTAATTAAAGTATACAATAAAGGACATTTGTCTACTTTAGTTATTCTTCATATATTAAGAAATTTCTTGGAATATTAATTAAAAAAATAAGAAGGTTTTATTGAAAAAAAAACATTTGTCACGCATTCATTATAAACTTTTAGAAATTTTCTATTTATTATCTTATTAACCATGAATAGTGTGATTTTGTATAATGGAAGAGAATATATATTTGGATTTTGAATAAAGAAAAAGAGATGTTTGGGTTGTTGGCGAGGAAGGGATGTTAGGTGGGAAAGTTCCAAGTAAAAGGAAGGTGGTGGTGTTGAAGAAGTGGAGCACCCTCACACGTCACCATCCTTTGCACTCACTGCATGCATGTCATGTTAGAATCAACCCTAATTTCTTCTTCTTCTATCACATCACCATTCCATTCCCTCTTCTCAATTTTTTATTTATACATCTTACACTTGTACTTATTATAAATATCATCCTAATTCCTAAGTCACATACCCTACTAATGAAGGGTTACTTTTTTTACTTTATAGATTTTTCCTAATTCTTTATCATTTTATGCATCTACTGTCAATTTATAAAAACTTAACGTGGACATATGACAAAGAACGATTGGAATACCTGCAAAACAAGTTTTGTCTTCCTTCTCAAACACTTACATGAGACTATGTTTGTTACTCAGATTTTATATACATATTTTAATGATAAACTTAACATCAAATGTATTATATCTCTTAGAGCTTCTCCTCCTAATAAACATAACTTAAATGAAACAAATCAAATCAATATCGATTAAACGATAAAAGATTAATTGATTTATTAAGTAAAATATTAGATCAACATAATAAAACAAAAATGAAGAGTAATAAGCTACATCCTAAAATATGTTTTTAATCACTTTTACATTTTTAGGGTCATTGTTCCACTATTTTATTTTATTTTTGTCTATTTTGATTTTCTCCATTTTTGAAATTCACAACCTTCAAAGTAGTTTAGCAAACTTAACCTATAATTTTTAATTAATAAGCGATATCTGTAATTGTCACTAAACAGTTATTTAGTAACAACTTAAAACCTTAACTAATAGTAAGGGTCGTTTTTTTTTTTAAGTAAGATAACACGAGGTATTATAAATTACTAGCTGAAATATAGACTCCATTCTTTTATTATCTTTTGTAATGTAATTTTTTTTTAATAATAAAAAATAACAGTAATTGAAGGTTTTTAAAAGGAGAGAGAAATGAAATTTTTTTATTATTTTTAATTATTAATTTTATTTGATAAAAAAATCGATGCAAATAATTAAATCTATTTTTGATAATAACAATTTATGTATTTTAAAATTAAAGGAGTGAAAATATAGAAAAACTAAAATAAAAATAAAATATTCTGAAAAGAGCAAAATCATAATTTATTTCTTGATAAAATTATTCATGATATATATGTGCGTGTTGTTTTTACGTTGATATTATCGAAATTAAAATTTATGATATTGTACAAACTACTAAATTTCTCATTATTGAATCTATTCTATTGGTTCTCATAAATGCACAATTAAAAAAATTACAAATCAACGTTATCACTGATTTCCATCAATCAGAAACTAATTGATAATGACCATATACCACACCTCATGTTCATGTTTAAGTGATACCCACCAGTGTTCTTGGCGCCACTAAAAAATAAGATTAATCATAAAATAAAATCTATAATTTATCAAATTGAAAAAGAAAAAAATTGTACAAAAAAGAAGAAAATTTACTTTTGATCACATGGCGGGAATCCTTGAAGTGAATTGTTAATTGTGTTAGGCACATGACATGACACACTTCTTTATCTTCGGCTCTGCATTGATGCATCTGGATGCGATCGTTGATTAATAATATACAATCATCCAACACACTAAATTATTGTGTTCATTAAATTCAAAGTTATTGGGATTAGAGTGTTGAGAATAACTTACTTTGGACAATTCCTTTTAGTACTCCTACTCATTCAAGAATACAACATAAAAACATTTGTTAAAAAATATTTATACATTATCCTATTTTTTTAGAGTTTTTTTTGTTTAATATTTAATATTATCAGTTTATTTGTGTACTTAGTTATTATAAGACACATTTTAACTTTTGATCATTAATTATATGTCTAATGATGTTTTTTTTGTGTGGACTTTGTCCTCTAGTTATTAAGAAAAGAAACTTTTCCACCGTCAAGTAAAGTATTTGAAATTTGAACTTAAAGACTCGAAACTGTTCGTGGCAGGCACATAACATAGAACAAGTGGTTGATCATAATGATTTTTTTTTTTACCCAAGACAGAGATATAAGGAGAAATTGAAACATGCTAGCAGGAGAAGGAAGCTAAACAATAGAAGATGCATGAGTACCACACCACACTCGAGTTTGAGAGGAGAAAAAGGATCTGATTTAACCTCAAAACACAAGATACAATTAACATACTTGCCAAACACACAAAAATTTGAAAAAGTTGCAATTGTCCTTCCTATTTCTTTTAGTTAGTTGTAAGAGGGCCTTTACTTGGGGATTATGTGCAAAACTCAGTTTGAATGGACCTTAATAAAACAAAGTTCTGGCCCATTTACTCACACTATAACTATGTTTTTATGTTTTACCATTAAAAGTTAACTTTGGTTAAAGGTACACTTCTTTTGTGTAAAAGTGCATTTTTTTCTTCACAAACTGAATTTCACACAATAATAACGAGAAAACTTGAGCCATAACGCAAGGCATATCCATAACCTAACACAAGATTTCCACAACCAAAAACAAATAATATAGTACAAGACCTGAAAAGCTCAACCTACACTGCTCAAAGACAAGAAAAACAAAACCAGTTAATTAACAATGTTTAACATTTAATGTTATCCTATCCACTAATCTTTATCATAATTTTATTACTAGTATGTCTTGTTATTTATCCATACCATAATTAATATTCTTAAAATCTAATTTTTACCATAATAGTTATATTTAATTAACAGTTTGCTTATTTTACATACTGTAATTGTGGATATTATACCATCATCCATTTCTCCGTTTGTTATCTGGCATCTCATCATCAGTTGACATTTAAATTTATTTCACATCTCATTCGAGGAGGAAAAAGTTTGAATCTTCCTGCGGGTTTTTTCTTTTCTCTAATTACCTGACAGTATTTTTATTTATTTATTTATTTATTTATTAAAGTAGCAGACTTTTTTAAAATTTTAATTATGACCTTTTGCTTAAGCTCAGGACGTAGAATATTCGGATTCTATGATGATGATAATGGGTTATTGTTTCTTTTTGTTTGATCTCCGATTACTATGATGATATAAAGGGACAAAGTTTTCCCCACTTCTATGCTGCCATATAATTCCTTTCCCCTTAACAAGGTAAACCAATCCATGATCAAAGAATACAAGCCATTTCTTTGCATAGAAGAAACTTCTTTTCAATGATGAGAGCAAAGAAGAACCATAATGCTGGACACCTTCCCCAGCAATATTCTAGTAATACAATGGAGGAGAATTAATCTTGGTTTATATATATGTCGGCCTTCCAAGTTCACAAAATAAGGACAAGTAACGTTCCACTTTGATTTGTCTTTGTTTGAAAGGGCCATGGCTTCAGGATCCAAATCAGTAGCCTCAATCCTATTGGCACTGAATCTTGTGTTGTACTTCATTGTGCTTGTGATTGCTTCTTGGGCAGTCAATCATGGGATTCAAAGGTCTGGTGAAGCAGGTAATAGTTGGAGTTATTTAATTTGAACTTAATGGAAGGGTGTGTGTGGTTTATTGACTTGGTTGAATCTGCATTATTTGTATTGTAGCATCTGTTTTGTCCATTCCGGCACGCATATTTCCGATATATTTTCCAATGGGAAACATGACAACTGGTTTCTTCGTGATCTTGTCTCTCATTGCTGGTGTGGTGGGGTTCACCACCTCCCTCACTGGACTGCATAACATTTTCCAGTGGGATGCTCCCAACATACATGCAGCAGCCATGTCTTCACTCACTACATGGGCTCTCACTCTACTAGCCATGGGGTGAGAATTATCTCCTCCCATTTTGGTTTCTACTTCATCAAATTTCTACCATTCCAACAACACAGACTAAATGCTTTATGTCTGCTTCTTCTTTTGCTCCAGATTTGCATGCAAAGAGATTGAACTTGGCTGGACGGACTCAAACCTGGTAAGCTTAGGTTGAGTGAAAGGATTTCAATTCACTGCCAAAGCAATTTGTCATTTACCAATGGTTTAACATTGAATTGGCTTGTTTTTGTCCAATAAAAGTAATCTGTAGAAAATATTTACACTTGATCATTTTTATCTATTAATGCATGACAACTTTTTAGTAATAATTGTAATGAAGAAACCAACATGTACAGTAACGAATTACTCAACTGTTGTCACAAACTTGGTTTAATTTTGGAAGAACTAGATATTTGGTTTATAAAGTAACCAGAATTTTCCAAATATTTTTGCAGCGCACCTTAGAAACAATCACGATAATTGTAAGCGCAACTCAACTGCTATGCACGGGAGTCATCCATGTTGCCTCTTCAGAAGTTATTCCTCCCAGAATCGGAAGAGTATGAGTTCAGCTGGTGGTGGCATGGCATGCATCAATACTACTGCACAATTATTTTAACTCTTTTTCTCTTGTAAAGTTGTTTGTGACTATTCTTTTAGTTTCATTTGAGGACACTCATAAAATTGCTTTTTAAAAAATGTATGAATGATTGTTCTTTAAGGAAAATCCTTTTTCTTTTTCCATAAGGTTGTCTGGTTCATCTGAGGACACATAAGAAGTGCTTTAGTAAAAGGGGCATTCCGAGAATCGAACTCGGGACCTCTCGCACCCAAAGCGAGAATCATACCACTAGACCAAATGCCCACCACAGTTAAAGCCTTTTAATTATTTATATTAAACAAACTTATTTCCAAATTAATATCATACTCAATATGATATGATGATATCATCGAGAAACGTCATGCTTCGATAGTCTAGTAAAAGTTCTAGGAAAAAAAATTTCATATATCGGACCAGCTTATGAAAGTTATTTAATTTTTATGTTATATATTATCTCTATGAAAATATATTTTGCCAATTAATTACAAATCAAGTTATGTTAATTTTAATATCCTAATTTATAATATTTAATCATTATAAAATATTTTATGATGTATTAGTGTTAGTGAGAAATCTATAAAAGGATCGAGAAAGTGAAGGGAAACAAAAAATCGAGAACTATACAAGTAATTAACAAGTCAATGCAATTGCTAAAACACCTGGTAAATACAAAGACAAAAACATATCGAGAATTGGAATCGAAAATCGAGGGAATAATGCTTAACGTCCGTTGGTGAAGAAAATCAGGAAAACAAAATCTGGTAACGTTAAGGATATCGAGAATCAAAAGCAAATCCAAAATTCTCGAAGTTGCGAAATCTAAATCGAAGGAAAGGCTGATATACGTGAATATCGAAATTTTGGCTAAGAAGAACGGTCGACGTATACATCGAACATAGTAAGCGGTAGCAAAAGTCGAAGGTCAAGGGAGCGGTTACCTCATTCATGGGAACGTGGATAGAGTTTCTAAACTGCAGAGCTAGGAACAAAACTGCAAAAAACGTGCACAGAGAACGTGGTAGTAGTCTTCGTTAACTGCTCTTAAGAGACTACTTGAAAAGACACTATAAATAGAGCAAAGGATGAAAGGAAAGGGGAGCAGAAAATTGGCAGAGAACAGAATCATTAGTGAGAAGTCTACCGGAGAAACGACGAACATCATGAAGCTTCTGGCAATCTGGATTTCCATGCTCATTGAGTACCTTTTCTGCTTTCTGTATTTTCCTTGGTAATTTACTTTGACGCAATTTATCTTTAGCAATTTTATGTTTCTGTACTTTCGATTTTTGGTCATTTCGATTCAATGAAAGTTAAGTTTCCGCGTTTAAGTTTCCCTGTCATTTACATTTCCTACAAACTTGATTTCCTGTTATTTACATTTCTGCTGTTTCGATTCCCTGTCTTTTATACTTAAAACGAATTTAAGGTCTCCGCATGTTACGTTTCTTTGCAATCTAATGTTCAGCACTGCTTTTCAATTCCATAAATTTTTTGCTTTCTTTACTTCGAGCACTTTAAATATAAAACACCAAAAATAGTATCTTTGAAATCGGGTAAAGTTCGATCCTCACACGCATCTCGATTGAAAACTAATTTGCTAGTCTAAGTAAAAAGAACTTACGTGGTAAAATTTTGATTAGGATCAAAATATCTTAAGAGTCGAAATCGATCGAAATTCCACCAGAAACAAATTGGCGCGCCAGGTAGGGGTAGCCTTGTGTTGAAAAAACACAAAATTGGTTAGTTCGAGAGTGTATGAGATTAAGGAGTGGGAGAGTTATAAGAATGAGTCAAAATTCATCAAATAACCAGAGTAACAGTGAGGGTCTAAATGGTGCACATCCACCAAATACTGGGGGGCAAAGTTATAATGGGAATATGCCTGTAATATCAACAACCGTGAGTATGTCGATACCTGTGAGTAATGAACAAAATTCAGGCACCTTAGCAAACACCCAAGTAGGATCTAGTGCGGTGGTACCAAATAATATGCAAACTATAGGAAACCCAACAACCACATATGTAGGGCCATATATGAGTGTAAGACCGCCTGGATTTTCGCTTAATAATATGAGTGGGGCTGGAACTTCTTCGACACAGCGGAATTCGAGATATAACTTAGGAATGCCTCAAACACTAGGTATGCCGCAAAATTTCGGAGTCCCTCTGAATTTAGGGGCATTTCAAAACCTAGCAATTCCCCAGAATTCAGGAAATGGACAGAATGTAGGTACACAACAAACACCTCCAAATCTGGATCATAGAGAAAATTTGGATCATGGGAGATATACATTCGATAGAGATTATCATCGATCCAATTTTGAGACTATCGAAAACACTGGTACTGGGATATCCAGTAACTCATTAGGAATACTTAGACAACAAATGGATGAGAGCAATTTTGAGATGGTGAATATGTTATCACAACATAAAAAGATACAATCATGAAAGCATAGATGATTATTTGAATCGATTTAGACTAATGAAGTCGAGATGTTTCACACAAATTCCTGAATATGAATTAGTTAGAATGGCCTCTGCAGGCTTAGAATTCTCGATTAGGAAAAAGTTAGTCAATTTACCATTGAATGACATGGCTCAATTAGCTGATAAAGTAAGAAGAGTAGAACAAATTGAGTATGAAAAACAAAGGTATAAGAAATATGAGAAACCCATGAAAAAAGAAAGAGTAGCATATATAAATGATGTATATGAGACAGATCCCATGACAGAAAATGATATTGAAGAAACTGTCGACGAGAAAGTAAATATAGCAAAGCTCAAAGTAGGGGCTCCATATATCTGTAAATTGCTACAAAAGAATGAAGTAAAAGATAAAATGGCAAATCGAACGTATACTTTCGATGTGACAAAGGCAGATAAAATCTTTGATATTTTATTAAAAGACAAACAAATTAAGTTGAGTGATGACCATAAACTACCTTCTGCAGAACAAAGGAATGGTCGAAAATATTGCAAATTTCATAATATTTATGGACATTGGACTAACAATTGCATACATTTCAGGAATACGATCCAAGATGCGATTGAACAAGGAAGACTGAAATTTGAAGAGATGTCAATGAAAGTGGACACGAGTCCATTCGAAGTTCAAGTGGGGTATATTGAATCCCAAACGGGCATGACTGAAGATGTCCGAGTGACGAATTCTGCTTTTGTAGGCATGGTCGATGTTACTGAAGACATTGATCCCAAGCATGTCAGAATGGATGTATCTGAAGAAGATATGGAGTTCGACCTGAGTGAATTCGAGAAAGAATTCGAGAGGGAGATCTATCCTCGATCAGGAGATTCTCTCATCAAGTTTTTAAACAGGAAGAAAGAAAAAGATGAAGATGTATCGTTGTGTCCACGATGTAGTGCAGTGTTCGACAAGTCAGCTGCTAAGGCTTTCAGAGTGAAGCATATAAAGAAAATCGAGAATCAAAATAAAAGAGGTAATGAAAAAATGGATCAAACAGCCCAACCAATGATAGGAGAAAGTCAACAGAAATCCGTTGGTTTTGGTGTTAGTGGAAATCAAAGACAGTGGGTTAGAAGAGAGATGTATTCTTCTCGAGGAGGAAGAGGCAAACTTCAGGGTAATGATATTTTCGAGAGGCTTTCATACGACGAGGGATCGAATGCTGGGTTCCCAACATTCCAAAGGCGATTCCGTGGAAGGCCCTGGAGAAGAGGAGGAAGAATCCCTTACTGGAATAATTACAGAAACTTTGAAGAGAACAATGTATCAACGGGGGGCCAATATGCAAGAGATTATTTCGACGATAAGAATGAAGGTAGCTGGGATGAACATCAGATCGGGGTGATATCGATACTACCCGCGGAATATGTTAATGAATATCAAGAGTACCAAGAACAGAGTGATGTCGATCGAGAAGATGACTTCTATTCAGAAAACATAAGGCCAAAGGTAACATGGGTTACACAAACATCATGTGAAGTACCTCATAGAGATGCTGCTTTTATTGATCCTCCATCTGAGGAAATGAGGTTCCACCTGAAGCCCCTATTACTGAATATCGAGATTCAAGAACAAATGGTGAATAGAGTCCTTGTCGATGGTGGTGCAGTAGTGAACATATTGCAAATCACCATGTTGAAGAGGTTTGGTATTGGATTGAAAGATTTAGTCAGGCACAATATCATGATTTCCGATTTCAGCGGAAAAACATCGAGCTCAGAAGGCATGATTGTTTTAGACGTGAAAGTGGGTACTTATTCGAGGCCTACTGTATTTGTTGTTGTCCAGTCACATGCCAATTTCAATGCACTACTTGGCAGGGAGTGGATTCATGGAGTAGGGGTCGTACCATCTACGGCTCATCAGAAATTATTCATGTGGAATCGAGATGGACATCTCGAAGGAATCCCAGGGGATCAACACAAATTTGTAACATTCGTATCTCAGGCTGGTCGGGCACTACAGAATCTGGAACTTGCTCAACCATTCACCTTCGAAACTATCGAAGATTTTAATTCAAAGTTACATGAGGAGCGATTCTTAGAGATGAATGAGAAGAAAGGATTTGTTATGATCAAAGAGGGGGCCAACCTCGAAGTGGCCGGTGAAGATGAATAAAGATTACGAAGGGTTCTTGGCTCGATTGAGAAAATATGAAGATGAAAAGAAGAGCCAAGAAAGTAGTAGTAAGGTAGGACTAAATAAATCGATTCATTCGACTTTAGTTGCAAATAAAAGCGATCAAGTTATGCTTGATTGTATTTACGATAATTCTCCGTTAGGTTTTGAAAAATCCATTACATCAAATCACAAAAAAGTCGAGGCTCAGGACCCATTAGAAGAGATTAACTTGGGGAGTATCGAGGACCAGAGGCCTACGTATATCAGCAAATATCTCGAAAAAGAAATAAAGGAAGACATGATTTCCTTGTTAAAAGAATATAAGGACTGCTTTGCTTGGGAATATGAAGAAATGCCTG